GTGTCAGTTCAGTTTCTGAAGAAAAAAAAAAAGAAAAAGAAAAACACACAACATAGTAATTTACTTAAGTCCTTCAAAAATTAGAGTCCTGTCAAGAGCTGCAAATGAAAATAGTCTCAACCCACAGGTTAAAAAAAGCTTGTGTAGAAGCTCTTACACTTCCTTCCACCTAAAGTAGACTACCTGTAGAAACACAAATTGTCATGGCTTAAATAGATGAGCATTCACTTCCTTCATTATGCTTTAAAAATGAAATCCATATTGAATAAGTCTAACAACAATTTGGTCAAAAATAAAGTTTTTGTCCAATAGATATTTTAAACTGACATTACAAACAAAAGTCTAATTTAAAAGGAAAACACTGCAGAATGAGTACTTGTATTAATATCCTACAATTTTACTTTTTTCCCTTTTTAAGTTCACATTATTATCTTTATGTGAGCAGCCACACTTATTTAGATCCATTTTCAACAGTGGATGTAACACTGGGAGTCTTGCCAAACAACTCTTATTGCCATAACCACTCATTATATATCACAACACACGTATCTGGGCATCTTGTGGATATCGTCATTATTTAAAGAACACTGACTAACTACATGTTTCATTACAAAATCAGAATAATTAGGCCTGTTTAATCAGATTTAGAGCAGTGCAGTAGATCACTGAATAAAAAAAACACTAACTGTATTATTATTATTATTATTATTATTATTAATAAAGTATTCTTTATATGTGGCACTACAGGTTCTATTTAGTCCGTTCCCACTTATTAAATCAAAATTTTATATTAAATTAAATTATATATTAAATAAATATCAATATCATGTGTATTGTGAAAATGTCTTAAAATTAAGTATTGTAGAATTTTTTCTGCCATATCGCCCAACCCTCCTTTGGGAGACACCAATGGCTGAACAGGCCTGGCCCAGCATTATTTCTACCAGAAATGATGGGGCTACAAGACAGTCGAGGGGCTCTTTATCCAGCTTCATCAACACCTAATCCCCTCAGGACAAGCACCATAATCTCACTGCTACACTCCACAAAATAATAGCAGGTGAGCATGTTATTCTTAATTACAGTGGAGAGAAACAGGAGGAACCCAAGACACCCACACAGCCCTGGAAAACTGCATCATAACATAAAGTAAAGCAAAGAATTAAGATTACAATGCAACACTGTGCTACGAAGGAAACAGGGCATCAATTTTGAGGGATAGGAACGGAAAGGAACCGTCTGCAGAAGTACCATGCCATGCAACTTGTTCCATCAACATGGAAAAAAGGCTGCTAGCTTTAGCTCCTACTGGCCCTTATTTATTATATGTTTTTATTTTCCTTGTTGCGTGTGACTTAGCTAACTGGGCTTGCCTTAGCCTTGTGTAAACCTGAAAGCTTGAACCTGCTTAAGCAAAAGCTAATACAAAAACTCACCGGCCATGTAGAGCTTCCGTTCAACCGCTTGACTAATGACAAAGTCCAATTAGCTGACTTACAATGAGGGGATCATATGCTGAATTGCTGCTCTGTTCTCAGTTATTCCCTTAGCGACTGTTAAAATGTGAAATAGTGTAGGTTCGCTGTTTTCAAAGTTCATACTGAAAAAAAAAACAAAACCATTTAATTTATTTTAAATTAGAACCAACATGAAAATAGTCTCAACCCACGAGTTAAGAAAAGATGGTCTAGAAGCTCAAGAGGTCCTTCCACTTAAAGTAGACTGGGACTAAACAGAAATATGGCTTTAACAAGCAAGCATTTATCCACCTCATTCTGCTTTCAAAAAGTTGTATTTCACTTTAAGCAAGTTTGATATTGCTTTTATTGCAGTCATATTATAATAAGGGGATCAATCATTTGCTGAAATGCTGCTCAGTTCTCAGCTATTCCCTTGGCAACAACTGATACCAGGCCTGCCAGCAAAGCATCACTTTACACACTGCAGCGTAGCAACCAAAGCCCTGAAACCAGCTGAAGCAGCAGCATCACTGGCAAAACATCAAACCTGACGCTTTAGTATTGGCTGATACTGAGTAACAATACCAATACTAACTCTATCTAACCTAACTAGCTTCTCAGTCCTAATATTTATATAGTTCCACTTTTTTATTTACTATTGTATTACTATAGCTATTGTAACCATGTTTCTTTGGGGAGGTTCATCTAACTTAATAATAATTATTAATAAAACAAGAAATGTACAGGATGGCCCAACAACAACTCTTTTTACTTTCTTCCACCACATATTTTCAGTGCTTCTCTGTCTGATGGCACCACAAAAAAACTGCTCTTAACCATTTCATAATAGAGATTGTATAAAAAGCTGTTACACAATCATAGAATTAGTAGTAAGAACCATTTTTAACAACTGAAGGAAATGCAAAATATTTTTATTGTGCAGAATAGTTACAAACAGAACTAAACTATTTATAGATAAGCCTGTGGTCTGTACATGTAAACACGCGGTTTCTTTTCTTGCTCAGCAAAAACGGTGCTAAATGTTGTTTCACATTAACATTTCAAACAAGTCATTTGTTTCATATATGTGTCTTGTTCACTTGTGCCACATATCCGAGCATCAGACTCAGAGTTTGGTAAATATTACCAATGTTTACAACATCGGCAGCAGCAGTTGTGCCACAGATTTCTTGGCTTGGCTGAAGCAAAAGGCCACAAGACCACACCACTGCAAGATGCAGCTGACTGACAGAGGAAGAGCTAGTGGATACAAAGGGCTGCTATGCCAAAGGCTAAACCAGGCCTAAAGGCTTTCATTAAGAGACCAGTAGTTTCTTAATTACGTCTCTCTAAAGTTCGCTCCCTTAATAACAACCTAGACTAGCACAGAGTCAGACTGTAACTGACTACACAGTGGCAGATGAGGGATTAGTGAAAGAAGCCTGACTTAGCTACTCAGGTAAGGATCTCCCGTTAGCATGTTTTGCACTGTCTGTATGTTGCATTATATGGTGTTTTGTGACATTTCAGTGAAAAAAAAAAAAGTTTAGGAACAATTCCAACCGGTATATCACCCACTACTACTGCCTCTCCACAAAATACAGGCATTAGTTTTTTCTATGAGCAGCTTTACTGATGCTTCTCAACTCACACTGCCGTTGTTAAGTTTCGTCCAAAAGCATGCACTAGAAATTGCTTTGTAGTATTGGTCAGAAGTATCCTCCAACACCAATACTGACTGCCAATATAAATATCAGTATCGGATTCAGTGCAATCCTACATATCAATATGTAGAATTTATCAGTTTTTCCTTTCCATTTTGTACGTGTGAGCTTTCTGCTCTCCAGTCTGTCGTCCAAAACGATGGTCCTGGTTTTTTCTGCATTTACGCACACAGCAGTGAGTTGCTTACATGAGTAAGTGTTATAATGGAGTGCTGGCATAAGAAACAATGTCTTTTTTCATACTTCATTAAAGTTTCATACTTAGTCATCAGGAGTAGATTTTTACAGACTTAACACACTGAAGGCTGAAGGTTTTTCGCCCCAATGTCACAAATGGAAACTGTCCTAGATATACTGCATACATGACCGCAAACTACATAATTTGCTTCTGATTTATTGAATTTTTTAAAAATTTCATATAGTCCCAGCTCAAGTCTGTATGACTGTAATAAGACTTTTAATGCCTGCCCTACAGAACCTGTTCTAATAAAACAACAGCACATGAATGAAGGCATGGTTATGCCCATGATATGTTGCTACCCTGGATTAGTCAGATACTTCTTTAGATAAATAAAACACACCTTCTGTGAAAATCTAGAAGTTTAATCTGCATGTTAATCGTTTTATATTTCTAGTACATGCCACCCTGTTTTGTGTGTTTCATAGGAAAAATGCAAATGTGATGTACATTGAACCAAGCAGAGTTAAGGCCATCATATATTTACACAGCTAAACAGAGCAGCTGGTATCTGCCTCTCAATATTCAAAAAAACGTTTAACAACAATTACTTTGGAAATGCTCCCCACTTCCGAGCTGTGGGAGACATGATCTCTACAATTGGAAGAGGAAAAGAGACTTGATTACGAAAACTAGGAAATTTGGGTGATTCATGCCACTTAACTACTGCAACACACCCAGATGAATCCTTAAATTACTGAAAAACACAGTCACACATTAAGCAAGAAAGACTGTTTTAACAGATCGTCACACAGACTACACTGGGAATGTGCCGCTTTAAATGGCAGCATGACTTGCTTTGGAGAGCCATAAAGAACGCTCTTTTGGGGTTTACAAGGCCTAGGCGTAGATCTGTCTATGTGCTCTTCTATCTCAGTATATCAGCGAAATTCAGTCCTTCATGGCAAAATTATTGATTTCACTGTTAGCCATTGTTAAAACAGGGGGTATTTGACAGTGTGCCATTTGCCAGTGAGTTGAATGACTTAAGCCAAAATGAGAACACTGTCTATGTCTGTCTTAAAGTGATGCAGCTAACTTGTGAAATACTGCCCAGAATAACGTCCATTGACTACAGACTACTTAGCACCTTCTAAATGAAACGTCTGGAGACGCTACTGCTTTCCCGCAACGTAATACCAACAACAGAGAACCTCTACACAGTCAAATTAGGCTTAGTCAGGTTAGTCAGGGCAGCAGAGTAAAACGGACGGTCAAAACTACTTCAAGTTAGCCAGACAGCTCTGTGACTTCCTCAGCTTGCTCAAAACGTTATCTCCTATCATGTACCTAAGAAAGCTGCCAGCTTAAATTTGTCATAGGTGTCGTGCTAACGTTGAGAAGAAAGCACAGCCAGCTAATGAGTGTCTAACGTTATAAAGAAACTGTCTATTTCGCTAACACTGCTAGCTAAGCTAACCTAGCTTCACGATAACTGCTACCGGATGCTGGACTATCCGGCAGTATGGTAATTTACTGTAGAATGAAAATGCATTCGCTAAGGATACAAGTGGCATAACCTCTTTTGACACTACATATCGTCATACATTTTGGGCTGGCATAAACCCTGTAACTCACCAATGCACTGGCCAACGGGAGTACTGAACGGATTCCCCAACAAGAACTCCATCTTGATGACAACAAACAATCCGCAGCGAGAAGCTGACAGTGAGCACAGAATTAAGGTCCGCCCTTTGCGTCATTTGATTGGAAGAGTCGGATAAAACCTTTCGCTGATTGGTGAAAATGTTTGTCAATCAGAAAAAGAAACGCAATTGGTTAGGCTCCTGTGTCTCACAGTGCTAAGTTGAATGGGCAAATTATTACACATGATCCAACAACTTTGATGTTCTAAATGATGATAAATGAGAAATGAATACAGCTACTTTTATGAGCAATATTGATGGCTCTAATGTTTTTTCAATCAACCTTTAATTAAATTCGGAGCACATTGCATTACGTTACAGAAGTCAGAGATAGAAGAAACAGGATTAGAACAAAAATGTAAACACATTTAAAATGCTTTGAAAATGTATCAAAGCAAAAATAAATTAATTAATTAATAAAAATAATACAATGTAACAATAAGAAATCAATCAAATCAATATAGACAATAGAATTATAAAAATGAAATAACAAATAAATTTGTCATAAGAAATGACAAATCAAGTAGGGATAAAATAATAGAAACGTCGATAATAAAGTACATTAAATCATTTTTAAAAATTCAAAACAACAACTACGCACAGACTAAACGTTTAAAATGTTCATGTGACACCTTTGAGCGAAGCTTTAGAGTTTCCTGAAATGAATTCAGCTCGGTGGTGCACCGCAGCTGATTTTCCCTGTTCAGTGAGAACTCTTGGCACTTGAGGGTTCACTGAGCATTATTAAACTACGACGCCTAACGGTAAGTATACGGGTTGGCGTACTTTCTAACAGTAACTGAGTAGTAGCTCACCCGTCAAAGCTGAACAAACAGAAACTTGACAGATATGATTGATTACTCGATGGCATTGTGTGGATTTTGCGGTTCAAATTTTGGCCTAAGGCAATCTTTTCAGGCCATAACCTCTTCTGCTGCTCGCTTAGCCACTGACAAAACAGCTGTGACGATTGAACGCAGCCTAGAAGCGTGTCCAAGTTGCTAGGCAACAGCAGCTTCAATACAGCAGACGCGGGAGGGCCTGAATAATACAAAAACACTGCCGAACAGGTAATTTACTTCACTAACATCCACTTTACTTTCGTGTGATAGTTTCTTACCACAGATGTTTCAATTTGTTAAATTGCTGACTTCCTCTGAGTGTGTGGTTGGCGCTAATCTAACCGCTAGTTTTAGGTAAGCCAGTCAAGCTGCCTAACCTACATTCAGTGCTGCGCTTTTATTATTGCAGTATAGTGAAGCGGCGGTGACCTCAATGTACAAAATTATTATAATCTAAAAATTAACATCCGAGCATCTAAATATTCACATCTAAAAATGAAATCACTTTTAAAATTCCTTTCGTATCCATCAGAAAAGTTTACTAAGTGAAACTCAGAATGATCCCAGTAACTAATTGAAAACCTACTCAAGTAAGCATTAGGGTGTATTTGCTTTATGTAGCTAGGTTAGTATGTAGCATTTCAGGATAGTATTCTGTTGCATGTCCCTTATTTTGGATGACATCTTGAAGTCTTCTAGAGATGGTCCTTCAAGAGTTTCTTAGTAAAGGCAAGAGTTCTATTTGGAACCATTAGTTCTATATAGAACAACTTCATTCTTAATTAATTCTTTGCATGCAATCTACAGCTTGATAGAGAATGTGTTGGATATGGTTCTTTATACAACAGTTAGTTCTGGCCACGCAAGCTGATTGGTTGAGAAGCGTTCTAACCGTGCTGTTATTTCACCAAAACATAACTCCCTCTCGTGTCTCCCTCTTCTATTGCTTAAATATAGAACCCCATTTCCAAAAAAGTTGGGACGCTGTGCAAAATGTAAATAAAAACACAATGCAAATCATTTCTACCCTAAATTTAATTGAAAATGGTACAAATACAACATAATAAATGTTGAAACAGAAATTTTACTGTTTTTTGAAAAATATATGCCTATTTTGAATTTGATGTCAGTAACAGTCCCAAAAAAGTTGGAACAGGGACATGTTTATCACTGTGGTTCATCACCTCTTCTTTTAACAACACTTTGTAAGTGTTTAGGAAATGAGGAGACCAATTTCTGTAGTTTTGAAAGTGAAACGTTTTTCCGTTCTTTTTGATGTAGGATTTTAACTGCACAACAGTCCTGGTTCTGCTTTGTCATATTTTTCATTTCCATAATGCCCCAAACGTTTTCAATGGGTGACAGGTGTGGACTGCAGACAGGCCAGTTTAGCACCCAGACCCTTTTATTATGGAGCTATGCTGTTGTAATACATGCAGAACGTGGTTGGGCATTATCTTACTGTATTAAGCAAGACCTTACTTGAAAAAGACGTTGTCTAGATGGCAGCATATGTTGCCAAAACCCGTATATACCATTCAACATTAATGGTGCCTTCACAAATGTGCAAGTTACCCATGCTATGTGCAGTAATGCACCCCATACCTTTCCTCTTTAGCCTGGAGAATGCAGCACCCATGATTTCCAAAAACATTCATCGGGCCACAGGACACTTTTAGCTCAGGCCCAGAGAAGGCGGTGGTGTTTCTGGATCCTGTTTATATATAGTTTCTTCTTTGCACGAGTTTTAACTTGCATTTTTGGTTGAAGCAATAAACTGTGTTCACAGACAGTGGTTTTCAAAAGTGTTCCTGAGCCAATGCAGTGATTTCCACTACAGAATCATGCAGTGCCATCTGAGGGCCTGAAGATCACTGCCAGCTAGTATTGGTTTTTGGCCTTGTCCCTTGCACACAGAGATTTCTCTGGATTCTCTTGGATTCTCTAAATCTTATTATGTACCATAGATGATGAAATCCCCAAATTCGTTGCTATTTCATGTTGAGAGACGTTATTCTTGAATAGTTGCACTATTTGCCTGGCAGCCTTTCACAGAGTGGTGAACCCTTCCCCATCATGTTACTGATCTGTTGCCAATTTAATAAGCCATGAGATGTTCCACCAGTTGTGTTTTAGCATTACACAACTTCATTAGTGTTTTGTTGCCCCTGGCCCAACTTTTTTTAAACATATTGCCAGCATCAAATTCAAAATGGGCAAATATTTTCCAAAAACAAAAAAGTTCCTCAGTTTCATACATTGTCTTTGTACTATTTTCAATTAAATAGAGGGTTTAAATGATTTGCACATCATTCTATTCTGTTTTTATTTACATTTTGCACAGCTTCCCTTCAGGGTTGTAGAACCTTTTTTGAAAATGGCTCTATGCACCACCAAAAAGGGTTCTGCTATTGTTACAATTTCAAGCTTAAAACTTTTGAACTCTTATTGGTGTTATATAGAACCCTTTTAGAGGGCCATATACATTCCCCATCAGTCTGAAAAAACATTTCACCATGCAAAGAACCGTTTAACTCATGGTTCTAAATAGAACTATTCCCTTTACTAAAGAACCCTTGAACCACCGTCCTTCTTTTTTAAGAGTGCTGCACATTTAAGCTGCTCAACAGTCCATGGTCTTCATTGTCATATATTGTGTCTCTAAATGCGGTACATGTTTTAAAAGGGAGACAGGTCTTGACTGTAGGCAAGCCAGTCTAGCACCTGCCCTCTTTAGAAAGCAATGCTGTTCTAATCCGTGCTGAATGTAGCTTGGTGTTGTCTTGCTGAAACAAGCTAGGAGGTCCCTAAAAATATGTCGTCTAAATGGCAGCATATGTTGCTCTAAAATGCGTATGTAACCTTCAGCATTAATGGTGCCTTCACAGATGTGCAAGTTTCTCCATGCTATTGATACTAACACACCCCCATACCATGACAGACGCTGACTTTTGAACTTTGCATTCTGAATCTTTTGATGGTATTCTGCACCACAGAGGGTGAAATAACTAAAATCCTTGAAAATGCTCATTGAGGAACGTTATTCTTAAACTGTTGCCGCAATTTTGGGCAAAGTGGTTAGCCTTGACACATCTTCTCTTGTAAAAGATTAGGCCTTTCCTCAATGCTCCTTTTTTACCCAAGCATGAATGCATCACCTGTTTAAGATGTTTTTTGAATCATTTCACGACATTTCTAGTCTTAAATTGCCAGTGTCGCAACTTTTCTGGAACATGTTGCATGCCAGTTTTAGAACGAGTTTGTATATACAAAAAAAAATGAAGTTGGAAAGGTAAAACATTAAATATCTTGCCTTTATAGTGTTTACATTTAAATAAAGGCCAAAGTGAATTTCATTGCTGTCTGTTTTTACTTGCTGTGCCATTTTTTTAGAATTGGGTTTGTAAATTATCCAACAACATGATTATAGGCATCATTTTTCTTCATTTGAATGTTGTTCAAAATATCATAAGAGCACTGAATAGTGAACCCAGGATTGTGAATTGAATCAAATAGTGGACTGAGCATATTCTTACACCCCCTGACAAAACCATGAGGAAATGTGATAATGATAATAAAAGTTTATTCTCCTTATGATTCTGTTATTATGTTTCATTTCATAGCATACTGACAAAATGAACAGGCTGTTTGATACAGCGGCGCCCAGCGTAATCGATGAGAAGATGCTACAAAAAGCAGTTGAGGAACAGGGACCTCAAGGCCAGGCTGGCCGTTTAGCTAAAAAAGAGGGCATCCAGTATAATGAAGTGATTCAACTGTGCCTGGAATTGAGAAGTAAGAATTTAACTAGTTCACATTTTCAGTTTAGGCTTGCTCTATTACAAATAAAGCATGAAATGAAAATCATGTTGTGGAAAAAATATAAGATTAAAAAGTGACCTGAAATTCATGTTGTGGAAACTTTTGTGTCTGCAGACATCTTAAAGATTGGCCATTTATGGGAGTTCACTTCTCTGACCAAGCTTCAGCTAAATAATAACATCATCGAGAAGATTCAGGGATTAGAGAAGCTCACCAACCTGGTGTGGCTGGGTGAGTTGTCTTGGTTCTCAGGACTTTCATGTTGAATATTCTTTATTTGAAGTCCTTGTCACTGAACCAGTGATATGTTATTGTTTAGATTTGTCCTTCAATAACATTGAGGTGATTGAGGGACTGGACTCACTGGTGAAACTCCAGAACCTGAGTCTGTTCAACAATCGTATTTCTGTCATAGAGAACATGGACACACTGGAAAACCTGCAGATTGTCTCGATTGGTAACAATTTAATCTCCCAGCTTGATAATGTAAGTTCAAATGCTTCTATTAGATTTGGGCAAAATAGCATATTGTGATCATACTGCTATACATTATGACTGAGATATGCCTTGTAACTCACAATACCTTATAAATTCTTACTGTAACATGGTTAAAGGCTCACTTGTGTAAAACAGACTTCTGCAGTGTCAGTACTGTGAAGGTCAATATTGTGATAGCAATTCAGACTGAAAAAGTGAAACACTACGCTCTCTTTCTTTGGTCTATCATTTGGTCTATCATCTTTCCATTCTTACCTATGTTTGAGATTATCATAGCTGCATATTTTAGACAAATTTAGATGTTAAAAACACTTATAAGATCATATTCTGCTTGTGCAAATATTTACCCACATATCTAACTTCACTTTTAGGTAATATACCTGAGAAAATTTAAGGAATTGTACACACTCAATCTGGCTGGAAATCCCATCTGCCAAGAAGAAAACTACAAGATCTTTGTGGCTGCATACCTCTCAGATTTGGTGTACCTTGACTATCGGCTACTGGATGAGCAAACTGTGAGTGAGAAATTGATGGCCATCAGTGACATGTACATTTGATGTTATGCTTCTTTACACTGCATACATGATAGCAGCATCATCAGCTAAAATACACAAAATGTCTAAGAGAACCAAAATCTGGCAAATATATGGACAATTTTGTCCTGTATTTCCCTGGCTGTGATTTTATCAAACAGAGCACATACTTCTGTTGAAGTATGGAAACTATTGAACAGAGGATCAGTGTAATGATGTTATAAAATACAGTGCTGTGCAAAAAGAGGCCACCCTTCATTTTTTAACTTTCAGTCAAAAAAGACATTAAATAGCAGTTATTCATTTTTTAGCATCAGGAAAAAAGCAGAAAACACATATTTAACAGAGGATTGAAGAACAAAGGCCTCAAAAACTAAAAATAATATAGAGCTTTTCAGTATTTAGTGCATCCACCCATTTTGGGAGACTTCAAACCTCCAAAGTTCAGTCTCAGAAATTGGTTGCATTTTTGCTTCTCATGTTCCAAATAAACCCAAACACATTCGTTGATGTTGAGGTCTGGACTCTGGGGTGGTCAGTCCACTGTTCTGAGAACACCAGCAGCTTCTTTTATTGATTTGCAAATTTTCTTCTTTTATTGTCTGTTTCCTTTTTTTCAGTAAGGGCTTCTTGACAGCTGCACATCCTTTCAGACTCATAGCACTGAGTTGTATCCTTAACAGTTTAAGGATAGACAAAAACACCTGTGGATTTTTTTCAGATCTGGAGCAAAAGATGAAAGCTTTAAGTGCTGTTTATCTGATGGTGACAGTTTTGGTGATCTGCACAGGTCTTGCACAGTTGTTAGTATCGTCATTTTCTCTATATTTTTAAAACATTTGTTAAGCTTATTGGGTAAATAACCATGGCAGAAACATTAAAAATGTATGAAAAACACTCATTCATAATTTCTGTGACACAATATACACCAAAAACTAAAAAGAGAAGACCACACATTGAATTTTAAAAGAAGAATAGATGATTAAATTATTTATAAATTATTAAATAATTAAATTATTGATTATAGGAACACATAAGGAAACATGATTAAAAGAAAAAAATATAGAGAAAAATAATCTCAAGGTAAATACTTTCACACAAACAAATATAACATCACATGCAAGGGCTTAACTAAGGCAAAAGCTTAGAGAAAAAAAATCAGCAGGCTAAAGGCTAAAACTCTAAGAGGAGAGAGAGAGAGAGAGTGAGAGAGAGAGAGAGATAGTGGTGGGGTTGAAAGCAGTTGAACCCATACCACTTTAAAATAGCCTACCCTTATAAAGGTTCATGAATGGTTTAAAATTAGTTTATTAATGGTTATTAATTAGGTCATAAAGACAATCATTAATAAGCAGTTACAACACATAAATAAAGGGGGCAACAGTGGCCTGTTGTTTGCCTAATGCTGAACCCTCATTCATTTATACATTTAAACCTCAGATTTTGATGTTCACTGATCTTACTTCATCTTGTTCATCAAACTTGTCAGCTTCACCACATATTCATATTCATCAGATATCACAGCTAACATTTTTATTAATGTGTTATAACTGCTTATTAATGAAATGTTAATGATCCAACTAATAACCATTAACAAACTAATTTTAAACTATACATAAGCAGTTTATAAGGGTAGTCTTATTTTAAAGTGGTGCCGTTATACCTTTATACTATATGTAAATTAGACAATTTACATATACGATTGCTGATTCAGCATTACAAATTAAAACTACTGTAATGCAGACTTGGATTCATTCAGAAAAAAAACTGAACACTGTATCACTGGAGAGATTCAGTTAATGAAGAACCACATCTGACATCAGCGTCCCTCTCAGTCAGGCCCAAGACCTTGAATGTTCCTGAATGGTCACCTTTCACCCAGTTATATGATGATAGAAATACACAGTTCCTACTCCTGCATGATAATCTGCTGCTATGTCTGTTAAGATTTGAGATGGACATAAACAAGTTCTTATCTCATGGCACAGCATCCATCTCAAGAAACATGTCATAAGCATACAGAGACACAAAGGCCCAAGAACTATATTACTGGTATAAGAAATATATTATCAAGCAAAATATTTAATTAATTAAAATATTAAAAAGATTAACGGCCATTTTGACTGGAAATGAATAGAATGGAAAGTGGTCTCTATCTTTCACACAGTACTGTATAACTAATGACTGTAGTACTACTGGAAGTATAATAGTGATAAGGTCGAGTAAGTGAATGTTGTCTGAAGTGTTTTCTGTTTTCATATATGCTCCGTCTGAAGCGAGAGAAGGCCGGCGTGGACTACCAGTATGCACTTGAGGAGATGAGACTCAATGAACTGCAGGAGCAGAAAGAAATGGAGGCTCAAAAAATCACTGAGCAAGAGCTTCAGCTGCATAAGGTAATAATCTATAAAATCATTCCCGCTCTTCATGCTATTCATTCGGAATTTGAAATACTGTTGATTACAACCTAGTAATGTAATACTAATAATAATAAACTTTATTTAGATATTATGTCCAGCTCAATAAATTCAGTTTATTCAATAAGGTGAAACAAAAATTCAGACATTGGAGAAAATCAGAGAAAATAACATTTTAGGAAAGTGGGTTAAGCAAAATAGAATTATACAAAAAAAAAAAATTTAATAGAACACCAATAAAAAAACATGAGTGAAAGGAAGGCCAACGTAGCTCTAAATATCTAAATATCTCATGTAAAACTGAACTCATAAACTCAACATGACCTAAACTTGTACAGTAATTTATGTTGTTTTCTGAATCGTAACCTACATCACAACGACGTCCACTGTTTTCTCTGGCAGGATGCATTTGTTGAGCTCTTGAATGGGCCACATCTGTTTGACAGCATGTTTGCAGATGATGCTGACGCACCTAAACTGGCCTGCCTCCCTGGAGTGACTACACTACTCGATTCATATCCTTTCCTTCTTCTCCCTCAGTGGACCAGATCAGGGATGCCAGTCATTTTACTCAATATATTCATAAATGTTCAAATACTTGTTTTTTCAACTCATTTATCCCACAAGCTGGAAATTAGAGGCTTGTGTGGTGAAAAGAGTCCCAGCTAATGGAGACTGTTTATCATTTACCAAACTGAGAACTAAAAAATGAAGAGAACTTTTGACTAAACTAAGAAGTTTGAGTTGGGTGAACTCTAGTGTCTTCAAGTTAACTCAAGTAAAGCTGTGGAATCAGTGTTTAATCCTGGACCTGCTTTTTGAATGTAGCACATACAGGGCAGCCAATCAAAACAGAGCTCATTTACAAATATCAATCTTAAAAGCACAGTAACAAAAACTGCCTGTTTAATTATGAGAGATAAAGAGAGGCTGGAAAATATTTATGTAAAAATGAATTGTGATATATATAAATATGTGTTTGGAAACCACATAAACTTTCGAAGTGAACCTCAGAATAAAAAAATAAAATAAAATATACAAAAATGTATGTTAATGTAAGCTAATGTGTTTGCTTAATCATTTTCCACCCGGTATCAACCATCACCTATTTTGTCTGAATCAATGCTTCATTAAATTAAATCAGGTGGGCTCGTAATGAATTTAAACAAATCATTGCAGTGGCATTCAGCATCTATTATTCTCCAGCTTTATCTAATTTAGTTGCATCCAGTTGCACCCAATAGCTAGGTCACACTCATCACACAATACTACCAAACTGTTAGCGTGAAGGCTAACACCAGCTTCATCCTAGACACATGAAGCACCACCACATCTTTTCAAACTGCCATTAACTCAATTTCATTGGACAGCTTGACATGCTTGGAACAGAGCACTAGCTGCCAGCTCTGTTATGTCAGCTAACAGATGCCCACGTTAGCTAACATCATGCTGAGTTGTCACAATCATGAAATTTTAGCTGACGATTAATTGTCAGATAAATAATTGGGATTAACTTTTTAATTTTTTTTTTGGTGATCATGTGCAACCATTAAAGTAAAGCCTAAAGGGGCTAAATAGACTTAGCCATCTTGCTTCCTAGCTATGTTTACTCACATATCTACAGTTACACAGAACATTGTGTAGACTTAAACAAAGCCAGAGTGAAAATATAAAATGCTAGAATTAGCTACATACCTCACAAATAAACAGACATTACTTATGCTACCCTCTAAACACATATATACTATGTGTTAGAGCACTAAGTCCCATGATGTGTCTCAATGCATTTGCTGCTTTCTTTTATTGAGATTTATTTGTCTCAATCCAGCACATCCACTTCACATTTTACTTGTTGGGGCATAATATTAATGTCGACTCTAATGACTGTGGAAAAAACTTACAGTCAGCTTAAATAATTGTGATCCTCTCAAATCACTACAGTCATCTCAACTAACTGTGCTTAGGCGATTATGCAATAATTATGACAGGCTTAATGATGGGGAGAGGGGGGCCATTATACCAACCTAAAGAGCGCAAGGCCAGTTATGCTCTCTTGGCTATGGCATCGCCAGGGATCGAACTTGCAGTCTTGTGTTCTTCTAACCAGCTGACTAACTACATTTTACTGTATTTATACATATTTATATTAATTTGAATGTTTCATATTGTTTTTTGCTGGCAAAACAGAGATAAATGGTTCAAATGGTTACTGTTGGGATAAATGGTTTTACACAATTTGCTTAGGTGCCTGAGGCTTTTGCACTGTACCTTTTATCTGGACTGTATGCATTTATTTTTGTAAAGAAACACTAACATTGTGATTTTGTGTCTTGACATTGTGTTAGCTTAACCATTTCTTCTTTGACTTGTCAATACTTACAAGCTTACTTACAATATTTACTTAAATTCAGCAAATCTAACCAATGGCAGGGATGCATGAAGAGCTGGAACCAAACTTGTGTTTTTCTACCTCACATCAATAACATTTCTATGACTGCTCCTTTTATTGTGTAAATATAATTTGGTGTTTATTTTATGGTCATATAGCTTTTTTACAAGCAAAAGTACACTTACTGCCCGAACTGTTTTAAAAATTTTCTCATATGGCCTAAGACTTTTGCAGAATAGTGTATTTTCCTGATGAATTTTACATCTGGCAAGACTGTTATGAACTCTTAACAGAAGCTTTCACCATGTAGAAGATATTTAAATACAATATTAGATAAAAGTCTTTATCACAGTGCATTTACCTTGACAGCATTTAAACATATAAGACCCAGCTTGTGGCGTTATGTATGCAGATGTTTGAAGCCGGTTTAACTCAACATGCACGAAGGCAGAATGAGGTAGAATCCTTCTTCTCGTGCTCCAGGGAAGCAGTGGCTGACAATCAGCAGAAAGCAGCTCAGATAGCAGCTGACTTTGAGAGGTCGAGGAGACAGGTCAGTTTAACTTCCATCCCTTGTTGCCTTAGGCGTGTCAGACTGGATGATATTGTAACTGTAATTGCTTTTAATGGCACCAGACTCCCACTGATAACCACAAACTCTGTTCTGTTCTGTTGTAGGTGATTGCAGAGATGCAGAAGGCAACAGACACCAGACTGTTGGAGGCCCAAGCCAGTAAGTACAGTGATGAGATCTCCCAGCTGTGTGACACTCTTATGACTCTGGAGCTGCAGCTGGTGGACCAGTTAGAGGTAAAGTGGATCTATTAGTTCTGCTGGCCATATGGAAGAGTGATAGGTGCATAATGTTGATCGGGGTTTTCAGCTTCTAGAGGGTTGAACAGGACAGACAAAGCAATAAATTCTGATTATATTGCAACATATTGTGATTGCAATATGCCATACACTGTGAAAGTAGTGTATAATTACTAATAATACTAGCAATTTACTGATTATTTCCATTACTCATTCTATCTTATAAAATAAACCTCACCTTATTTCTAAATACAGCTGATTACTGCATAAGTACAGTTTTTTCCATACCCCTATATGTCTAGTGTACAGCTCACATGTTCTCTAATGTTGCACCAACAGGCAGGGCTGGAATGTAACAGAATTGTCGGGAATACGTATTCATAATACAGAAATTAAGTATCGTATTCAGCCCAAGTTGCATTTTGAAAAAGCAGTATTGAGAGTACAGTCACAATTTTTAGCAGTTACAGGATTGTACAGGATTTCCACACGGAATCGTGATCAGTTGATGTCTCTGTCATTTCATTATTATGCTGATAGTTAATCGGATAGTTGGGACTCTTCAGTGCTTGAAGTCATAACCAGTAGGAGAGCTTGCTTAGCTTTATCTGGAGAAAAACAATTCCCGATTGGCCCATTTTCTGCTCTGCATATGAAGAATTTAACCCTTTTTGTTTCCATCCAGAACTTAATGAAACAAAAGTAATACAGTAATACTTGTTTAGTTTAAATATAAGCATGATTCTATTCATTAAAATTACTGTCATGTATTTTTCAGTTCCCGGAAATCATTAGGCCTCTGAAAGTCCTGAAAGGCTCTAAGGATTCTCCTCTGATTAACTTAGTGCCAGAGGTTCAATTATCTCAATATTATAAGGCAACCAGGTTACTTAATTTTTTAAGTTAAAAATATAATCATGTATGACTGTCACAAATACTCAAACACTCAAAAGGTTGATTACTCAATTGATTGAACTGATTAATTAAATAATTGATTAAAAAATATGTTCTTGTGGGACATTGTCTTGACTAAACTTATCCAATGACATTGTATTTAGTTATGGTTCTAAACCAGTCCAAGTCTGCATTATAATAGTTCTGCTATGCATTGACCAATCAGCAGTTGTAAGCATAGTTGGCCATAGTTGCTCACTCATCTCTCCCTCTCTAATTCGGCTTTTGTTTGTTGTTTTGCTTGATGTTGACCTTGTGTGATGGGTTTTCACTGTGTTTGTACATTTTCTTCATAATATTTACTTTTTGTGTTCCTGTAATCCTGAAAAAAAAATCTGTTACATTTTACAATCTTTCTATTTGAATAATTCAAATCATGGTCTTTTTTTTCTTGGGGTATGTCACAGCATAGAAATTGTGAATGGGTGTTTTTCATACATTTCAGTGGTCAGTAGTCTTGAATGTTCACCTTAAAACAAATGCTCTGGTATTTTTTCTTGATGATTGTATTACAGCTCAATTATGTTCAATTATGCAATTGTTCATAGGACATCATTAAAGACTTTGAGAGGAACATCTCAGACTTGGTTGGAGGATTCACAGAATACATCCAAGGAATATATCCTTTTATCAAACAAGTCCGTTTCAGTGGACAGTTTGGTTTCTTGTTGCATGTTAGCATCCTTAACTGTGTCCCACATTTGCTCAGTGCCGAGATCTAGAGAACCACCACCATGAGAAACTGCTCGAGATTGCAGTGGCCACGTTAGACAGGGTGGCAAAGAATGAGCTGGAGGAGGATTTGCCTGATGATGTGCGCATGGTGAGTGGTGAATGTCGATTTCATAAAAAGTTGCTTCACTTTAGAGAATAAATCAGGCCTGACTCCTCTGTGCTGCCCTCTAGCTCTTTGTGGATAAGGACACATTGATCAATGCTGTCAGTGCTTCTCATGATACACACCTGCTGAAGATTGATAACAGGGAGGACGAGCTCATGATGCGAATCAACAGCTGGATGAGTGCACTGATAAAGTCGGTAAGAGGCAGAAAAAAACACGTTCGTCATAACTGTAAAGTAGGTATACCTTAATATACCGTAACATACAGTAATTATTACCTGAGTATTAGTAAATGGTAAACAGTGTAATAATAATGTATTGATGCATCACTGTACATTTGGTAGTTGTGTGACTTCTACTGAAACACACTTAGGCCCAATCCCATTTCACTCCTTGCCCCTACCACTTAGCCCTTCATTTTGCACGTTCACGCCTAGGGGTAGGGTGTCCTGGTTTTTGTTGAATTAGAGGGGCATTGTGAAGTGTTAGGGCTACATGGCCCTCCAAATGGAGATTTCTCAGAGGCATGCTCCAAACAGAATGTTATGAGAAAAAAAGAAAAACCAGCAAGATGGCTGCACAAGATGGCTGCAAATGGGATTGGGCCTTTGTAATGCATATGAGACGAATAAATAAATGCTCTCCAGAATTGCTCTGATATATTTTAATTTTGTGTGGCATGTTTTATGTAAACAGATACAGGATGAAGAGGTCAAGCGGAATCGCAAGCGCATCTCAGAAATCCATAACTACGTTGACTATGTTAAGGACCAGCTGGAGGAGATCCTTTTGGAAGAGCACCAGTAAAAGGAGAGAAAGGGACTTGCTTTCTATTCTCAAACATATATCTACAGACATACTACACAGCCTTTGTTAAAAGTAAATGGCATATTTTAATAATAACAATCTTCAAAAAATATGTAGACAAGTATTGTATTTGTGCATTTTCTGTTAATAAACATTTTGAGTCTTTGTGGCGCTAAAGATTCAGACACGATTGAATTTTATTTTCTTGTTGGACAATTCCGCCACCTACAGGAAGAGACGGGTGGTGCAGGAGCCCAAAGGGAAGGAGGAGTGGACATAAATGGACATTTCTCAGGGTTTATGTGCACGTGTGCGCGCGTGTACATGTACGGTATCGGGGTGTGGTTGAAGCAGCCTGAAAATTAATTAGCATTACATGAACAAACTGCCATGAAAATGGAAAACCTGTAGAAACCTGTAGAAAGCTGTTAAATTAAAATGTCTTGTGATCAAAAAACATAACATCAAATCTTAGTTATTTAGGTTATACATTTTAATAAATATTTTCATGTTTATTTCTGATTTACTGTGTAGTCATGCAAGCGTGTATATTAGCTCTAACACAATACCAAAGCACCAATCATAATACATAATTTTTTTCTTTAGATTTTTTTTTTAACCATAAATATGTACATGGGTACATATTTATACAAAAACATGTAAGGCACGAGCACAGAATTAATACAAATTTTCAAAATTGAAATACAAATAATTTATATAGCGAGTATTTATAAGACTATAGTTTGTAAGAAAACACATAGCAGTATTTAAAAAAAAACGAGTCATTCATCTTCGATAGGAAACGTTCGTTGTAGATCGCTGCGGTTTCCGATAGCCTACAAATCCCATCATGCTCCTCTCTTCTAACGCCGCGCGCCGTCCAATCGGAAAAAACTGATGACTTTGACGACAGGCTGGTGTTGAAGAGCGCAGCTCAGGTGCCGAGGGGCTGAACGGAGCTGAGCGGAGACTCAGAGCTCACGAACCGCCGCCAATGCGCCCGTCTTTCTTCTCGTATTGAATCCGGTCCGTGTGTCGTGAGCTCACCTGCGCTCGGGGTTCACCCCGCCAAAGCGTTTCCAACATGCCGGTCCGTACCGAGTGCTGCCCCTGCTCGCCTGCGGCCTGCGGAGCCTCGGCCTCTCTGGTGCCGCCGCCGCCGATCAACACACAGCAGCCCGGCGTGGCCACCTCCCTTCTGTACAGCGGCTCTCAGTTTCGGGGCCACCAGAAGAGCAAAGGCAACTCATACGACGTCGAAGTAGTGCTGCAGGTAAAACTTGTTCGTTTCTCTCGCAGGTGGGCCTTCTTCGAGTTGGCTAGCTGGTTTGTTTTCGTAGCTTACGCTAGCTTTTCGTGAAACGCACGCAACTTGTTTGCTAACGGGTATTTGACATTTCATTTAGCCAGCTGGCTAGTATTACACAAGAATGACTGCCAGATTTGTCATTCAAAAAGCTGGATAGTTAGCGTGAGTTAGTCATTACAACATTTATTAGCTTGCAAGCTAACTAATACGTTTTGTGGACAGTGGCCTGTATGTTTAGTGTAGTTTTTGTCGCATGTTGCTAATTGAGTGGCCCGGGACTTGGCCACATAGCTACGTGATAGCCGCAGTTTCCAGACAGTCTGGACAGGTTCCTAATTTGAAAGCAGTCCAGACTCGAGGTTAGCACGTTATGTCCTGAGGTGTGCTGAAGTATGGCTGCGTACACAGGTGACCGTATTCCATTAGACGTGTTATCGCTCTGTCCCACATTTGCTGCTTATAACCCAAGTGTGGAGCTCTGCCAAACACGTATCAGCGCTAATCGACGAATCTCTTTTTTTCCTCTCTTTTACTTGTAGCATGTGACCATGGAGGACTCGTACTTGTGCGGATACCTCAAGATCAAAGGTCTAACCGAGGTGAGATGCTGTCCGCTTTCTAATGGCATGAGAGGTTTTAAAAGCTAGCCTAATATCTCACGGATTACATAAAGTGTCTGGCTTTGACAGGAGTGCACCTGATGCCTCTAATTGTGTCGCTTAGGTCAGAGGTTTTCAGTGCTGGATTTCACTTTGCTCTGTCTCCAGCACTCCTGATTCAACAGATCAGCTAATGGGCGATACCTTCATATGGTTAGAATGGGTGTGTTGGAGCAGGGAATACGTTAAAATAGGAAATGTAGGGCTTAAGTACAGGAGTTAAGGTGAGCAACGTTGGTCTAAGTAATCAGCAACCAGGAACGTTATCCCTCCTAGTTTTGTAAACACGACGGTCCACTTTGTTTTAGTCCTTTTTTGCCTGTTGTGGTCTACATTGTCTGTTTAGAAATACAGAGTGACAATGCAGAATGTGATTGCTGTGCAGTCTCTTTCACTGGCACAGGTTATTTTGTTGCTCCCATCTTCTGCCCGCCTTGTTAATAATCAACATATAATCAATAATATGTTGATAAACAGAACTGATCATATCTTTAAAGTTAATTGAGTTTTGAGCCCTGATGTGACCGTGATGGCTATTTTAGCTATGTTTCAAGAGGCTATAACCAAGGTTGTCTCATCAGCCTCTAACATTCTAGGGTTTTCTGAGAAAATATTACCTGACTGGGCCAGTTTTTAACTAAAAAGCATATCTGCAGTTTAAATCTCAGCTTGCAGGGCGTCTCTGTGTCTTTGCCATTCTAATCACACAATAAATAAATTAAAATCCACTAGACAGTGAAATATAGTCCAAGCCCAGATTTAATGTGTCCACTGCATTCCGGAGAATACATTCCATATTAGCGTTCAGATGTACTGGGTGGTACACTGTTATTGTCCCCATTACTATGTTGAATAATAGTATATTTAAGGCCACCTGAAAGAATATGCTATAGATTTAGCATAATTGAAGTTGAGGATTTGACATACTATGTAAAACTCCATTTCATATTTTGGATCACCATGCATTACTTTGTGGTCAAGCGACTACAGAAGCCTGAATATAATAGTAAATGTCTTTCAGTAAGTCCGTAAGTTCTGTGTCATGACCCTTTATAGGAATATCCCACCCTCACCACGTTCTTTGCTGGAGAGATTATCAGTCAGAAACGGCCTTTTCTAACCAGGAAATGGGATGCAGATGAGGATGTTGACCGCAAACACTGGGTAATGAAACTGAATTTTACATTTTGCTGTTTATTTGTTTGTTCTATGATCTGTTGGTGTTATACAACAGTTAGTTCCAGCCACGCAAGCTGATTGGTTGAGAAGCTATCTTTTTCTTTTTGTGTTTTTGTTTTTTTTTACAAACACTGTATCACTCTGCTGAGACACCGTTGCTAAGCCACGACTTTGACAGCTGTAGGAGACGCTCAAGTCATTTAAAAGTTTTTACTTCTTACTTTGCCCACAAACAGAAAATGGATACTGTTTAAGGTTTACATTTGACCTACAGCCAATTTGGTCAGACTCTGAAGATGAGACTACACTAAATACCGAAACTGTCATCACCACTGAGCAAGCTTTTCTGTCAGCAGCTGTGACAGAAGAACACCTAAAAAACCTGGAATTAGCCAGAAATGAACCGAATACCATTTACCAAACGAAATGGGCTGTAAGACGCTTTACAGACTGGCTGGAACAAAACAACATTAATATTGATCTAGCAAAAATTGACAAAACTGAGCTAAACTCTTTATTGCGACAGTTTTGTGGCTCAATACGATTTGGTCAGACTCTGAAGCTGTCACAGCTGTCGACTGAAAAGCTTGCCAAGTGGTAATGACAGTTTCGGAATTTAATGTAAGGAGCTGGAGAACGGACTGCTGGCTGTGCAGCGAGTGAGCGGAGTTCGTTGCTCTGATGTAGCAACAAGCTGCTTGTTAAGGAATTATAGTTTGGCAAAGGAACATTAAAACATATTAATACCACGTTCATGGTCCAATTTATTTCTTTCTTACTTTATTTATTTAACTGTTGTATAAAAGCAAGAGAACACTCGAGGTTGTGTGTTATCTCAAATAACATCTCGCCTTTGGCTCGTACCTGCAACTAAATCACAGCTATGTTCTATTGCTTAATTAAACTGTAAGTAGATAGCAACTACAATATGATAAAGGAGAAATCCCCTACGGCCTACTGAAAATTTAGACCTCATCTGTTTAATCTATTTTGGGGTGTTTTGGGTTATGATTTTCAGCACTGTTCTTGTTTTTCTTGACGTTCTCTATATGAGAGAGAATTTCTCTGTTTCTGATTTTGATTGATTCAAAAACAAAAGCTTCACGTAACCATCCACATAGTTATCCTTTACATGTTTTAGGACTTGTTACACGCAAGTTTCTGCAGTTATTGTCAGGAATGTTAATCAAGTGACATTTTTACCCTGTATAAATTTTCTAAATTTTCTAATTTGTGTCTAAACATTCATATTGATTTTCTCAGGGGAAATTTCAGGCATTTTATCAGTATGCAAAAAGCTTTAATTCTGACGACTTTGACTATGAAGAACTCAAGAACAGCGACTTTGTCTTCATGCGATGGAAGGTATAGTATATTAAGATCCTTTAACCAGTTTTATATTATTGCTTGGTGTGATATTTAGCGGGAGTGTAATGACTACACTGAATTGAGTGATAAATGAAGCCAAAAGATGAAGTACTTTTTTGTTTTTCTCAAACGCACCTTTTTTGTGTGCAGGAGCAGTTCTTGGTCCCAGACCACACAATCAAAGACATCAGTGGTGCTTCCTTTGCTGGCTTCTACTACATCTGCTTCCAGAAGTCCACAGCCACCATCGAGGGCTTCTACTACCACAGAAGCTCTGAATGGTACTTTTCCAGTAACTCATTCACATACGTATTAAGCCTGTCAGTCATTTAGAAGACATTATTAATATATGATTAGAGCTGTCAGTGTTGACTGAAGCATGGCCATTCAGAGTTTTTAAAAGACTTGACATGCATGACTTTTCAGAGTTTCTAAAACATGCTATAAGATAATAAAAATCCAAATAGATGGGTTTGTCTATCAGGTTTTATTTTTTTATTAGAACACAGACCACCAGGAGAATCTATAATATCCATGTGCTAGAAGTTGTCAGCTAATAATTGCTGATTATCCAAAGAGGTCAAGTTTAATGCAGTTGAGTTTAACTGTCATGTGGTGCGACAGTGGTATAGTTAGATTGGCAGGAATAGATCACTGGTGTGCTCTCATGAGCTGAGCTTGAACCCCACTCTTTTGCATGTAGAATGAGTTAACCATTTTGCTATAAAGCCTCTACTATAAATGTTTCAAACATGTTGACTATTCTCAGTCCCAGAGTTGTGTGTAAGATGCAGCAGTAATGGCTACGGTCATAACAAACCTGCATCATCATCCATGAAAAAGGATTGCTTCAAGGAGTTAAAAATATATTTGTAGGCCTATGTAGAAAAAAATATATATATTTATTCATTTTTTTAAACCTAGATAGAAACAGCTGTTCAGTGAATGCTGACTGCTGAATGCTTTCTACCAGCTTAAAGTATTCTGACTGTACTATTCGAACGGTGTTAGTTTCACATGAGAAGGTGGGGTAATGTAATAGTTACCTGCATTTCTTATTGATTTTAAACCCATCTGAATCCACCATAACGGTCATTTTACAGATTACACGCTCCTTTTTCAGGAAAGATTCCTGTGCTATTTACGTGCTATAAAACAAAGGATAGAAATAACTCCAAATCACATTAATCCTGTGGGAATTGCTGTTTCCATAAACAAATTTAGTGGAGAGAGTTTTCCTGTTTTTAAGCATGGACGTATATAAAAAAGCGTGTATTGTTTTTCCTGTGGCTCATATACGATGTGTACTGCCTTTCAAATATATGATTCTAAACATTATATTGTAAAATGATAGTTTGTATGCAGTGATGTTGGCTGTAAATTCCACTTAAGACAGCAAAGTAAATTGTTAGGGTAAATGAAATAACTTGTCTTGCCCTGTTTTCTACATCACACACAACCTGTGGTAAAATTGCACATCTATATTTGGTGCACAGCCACTCAGACACATTTGTAGTTATAATTTATTGCTTCTCATATCGTCGTCGCAATATCCAACAATTTTATAGAACATTGCATTTTATGTCTGTATCATGGAGCCCTAGTATTTTTATTACTTTTCTACAGCATTTTGTTTTTTGCCATGAAGGCAACGTGTAAATGGAGTAGTCACTCCCATCTCTGTAATACTGAGAAAATTTGTTTCCCATGCAAATCAGTCATAAACATTAAGATGTCCTGTGGTAAAATTGCATACACCACCTCCCCTTAGAAGTCTAATCTTGTTCAAACGGTCATTTGCAGTTGTAGATAGTACTGTTTCCTTATTTTTATTATTTTTATTTAAAATAGATAACAAAAATGTCTTCTTTTTTCTGTTAAAGGTGTAAAATTTAAAGATGTCCATGCTACACATATTTCAGTGGTTTATATGTCCACTAAAATAAGCTCTTTCCAGTTCAGATCCTTTGTTTCTTTTTGAGCTCTGTTTACTCCACTGTTGTAGAGGTGCCATAAATGAACATTATGCCCAACATGCAGCAGTGAGTGTTTTCAGAATAGTAACAAAGCAATCTTAAAGCATACAGTGTTGAACTGTTGTAAAGAGCGAGCTTTAAACATGTACCATCTGGAGTTCCAGTTTCCATTGTGTTTAAATTATCTGCCTTTAGTCCAAACACTGGCGTGTAAAATGTGTGTGTGCAGCTAAAGACTGTTTTCTGCCTTTTGTTGCAAGCGACGTGCCACCAAACCCATGTACTGATACACTCCAGCAGTGTTTCTAACCTAAATGAACATAAACGTTGTGCAGTCTGAAAGCACATATCCATGTTTTTTCAGCCAGTAAATGTAAATAAATAGTTATTTAATACCTACCATATTAGAGGGTGTGCAGTGTTATGCGGTGGAAATAGTAGTACTTTTATGCTAACATCTTAAAAAGGAATTAAAAAGCATTGAACTTGATTTTAAGTTGTGCAGCAACGCTGTTTCTGTTTACCTGGCAAAAAGTCTGTAATTGCTGCACAGCCAGTCAGAGACACTATTTTATTCATAATTCATGGCTTCTCATATCAAGATTGCAGTATCCAGCTTTATAGAACATTACATTTTATGTCTGTATCTTCCAGCCCTAGTATGTTTATTACATGAAACAGTCAAGACTGATTACAAATGGCTTCATGTTCTTGTGTTGTTTTTCTAGGTACCAGTCCCTAAATCTTACCCATGTTCCTGAACACAGTGCACCCATCTATGAGTTCCGGTGACACTAGAGCCCTCTCTTGGCTGAAAGAGGGTGAAACTACGGCAGACGGGGGAAAAGTATTGGTGTCGAGGGAATGACAAACTGTCTAATCATGCCAAGGACTCAGCCATTTTCTCTCTTTACTAAGAGGATGACAAAGATGGACACATGGATGAATGGATGGATGAATGGATGGAGAACTCATGAAATGAGCAAGTCTTCACAAGCAACAAGTGGATCAGTGTGTTGGATTTGGGGATTTGCAACAGTGTTTTTTTTGTTTTTGTTTTTTTCCTCCTTCATTACTTTCATTTTGTTTCCAAGTTTTTAAAGCTTCTGTCCTCCTGCCATCTTAGACATCATTTTTACTTTTTAGCCTGTGTTTTGGGATTAAAGTTACTCTTATTTTTCTTCTTGATGGAGAAGCTAATCATTGAAGCGTTTTATTTTGATTTCTTGGCCGTGTCATTGGAAAATTGGGGTGGACAAATTCAGGTCAGCTCATGCAGGTAACTGAAAATTTCTTTTAATTTATTGTGTTACTATTTTTTTTAATAAGTCTATATAAAAAGCAGCAGGGCCTCTTTGAGGGAGAGAGACTATAATGGAGTTCAAGGTTAAAGGCAGTATGAGCTGCAGCGCAGCACTGTATGTGTGGGGTCTATGGAGACAACCCTTAAGTGACATGGCCAATAGAGTCAATGTTCCCAGTTTAAGAATTGATAGTTACATTAGATCATCCAGCATCCCCTCCTAGTTTTAAAAATCACTGCTTGTATTTAAAGTTCCAAACAAAGTAGCTGGGTCCCTTTTGTTTGTTAGTGTGATTGCATACATATAATATATATTTTGTAATGAAATTGAATCAGATGTCTTGGAAAGAGGTATTTTATATCCCACAGTGGTAAAGTTGTAGGCTGCTTTGGGTTTTTAGTTTTTTTTTTTTTTTTCTCCTTTTTGGTAGGGGGTGTTCAGCTTTTGAGAAAAGCAAAATTGACAATACTTGTAATGCTCCGTTTTGCTATGCAATGTTAAAGAAAATCTCAGCTTGTAAGCATTCAGTGCATCTTAGGCCATCACACATTGTTTGAAAATGTTCTCAACAGTAGTAATTTTCACTTAACTAATCACAACCAGAAGAGTATTGGTTGGTATGCACTTTGGCATTCATTGGCATATCAGTTTTGGATTGGATGGGCTGGACCGTGTTTATATTTTTAACAGGTCTTGGAAACATCCTGGATTGTCTTTTTCTTCGCCCCTTTTCTACGTTTGGAGTTAAAGCTGAAAAGGATTGGCAGGCGAACAAAACAAAGCAAAATGTCCTCTTGAATGTCCATCATGAGTGGCCATACTGGATTCTGATCGGATGGCAGTGAGATACCTGCAGCAGTTCGTTCCTATAGCACAGAGGGAATTTGCCGGGAAAGACAAATGTAATATAACTTGCTGTCTATGAGCTGAACTGTTCACTTCTTTGAACCCAAGTAACGCACAAAAAAAGAAAAGGAAAAAAAGACTAAAAGATTTAAGAAAATCCGTCTGACTCACTTTCCTAAAGAAGCTCTTTTGAGGTGATGAACAAACATTTGTGAAGTGATTGGAACTGATGTACCTGTTGCAGAGGGGAAAAAAACACCCACACAGATCAATCCTCCTAAGCTTTAGTCAAACCATTTGCCTTAAACGTCAAATGTTTGTATATAATACATTTTTATAAGTGTTGGAGTGGTTCCGTATGGACAGGACGACTGTTTCGGATGGGGAAATGTATGCAAGTTTGCGGGTATTAAAGATGATGTCTGGTAGAGGGAGTGGGACATGCAAAGCCTCAGTAGCCAAAACTTCTTCCAGGCTTTTAGCAGCACATCAGTGGATGCGTAATATGTCCCATAGCTCAAAAGCTGTTCCACTTGTAATTGGCCCTCTTGGTTTGGGGTTGCATTGCGTTGTGTAATAAGGTGGTGTGGCAAGTGCTGTGGGGGTCAAGTCTGTTCAGCTTGCGCATTGTAAAACGCTGCAGCACAGTAATACATAGCGAAATCTTATACCTGCAGTTGGGGATTACTCACTAGTCTCTAAGGTTTGCTAGACAAGAATGAAGATTAGTCTTGGGCTCAATTGCAAAGTGTTTAGTTCTAGCTCTGATCTAACACACCTACTCAAAAGAGGACAGGGAACATACATTAGAGGTAGGTGTGCTAAGATTAGGTTGGAGCTATACTTTTATAAAAGGGTAGGTCTCCTGGAGAAGTAGCCCTGGTCTGAGACCAAAGCTGGGCCTAAATGCCTAATTCCTTCTTAAACCAGACACTCAAGTTTTGAAGTTTTTAGACTGTTTTAAGATGTCTAAAGGTAATCTGGAGGCAAAATTAACTTCACATCTCAGCTAGGGCTGGGCATTATTGAACGTTTTTCGATACCTGTATCAGTACCTTGATTTCAGTACAAATTCCTAAACTACCGTTGATACCCTCTTTTACATGACTCACTGAAAGGGTAGTGGCTTTAAACAGGAAATTTTGTTTAAATTTACTGACTGCTGTTCACAGCATGCTAAACAAAAACTGCTGTTGTTAAAAACATGCAGAATGCAACAGGCCACCAGTGAGCAGTCTAGATTTTGGAACAAGCATGCTTATTGGCTCTTGGATGCTGATAAGACCAGCTTCTTGTGTACTGAAATTTGGTACTGTTTTTCAATACTCGGTAGTACTGAAGTGATTTGTTCAGTACCATGGAAGTAATGAATTTCTATACCCAGCCCTAATCCCAGCCCACTCATATATCAGACACCAGCGAGTATAAGTGGTGATCTAGGATCTCCTTGCTCCCTTCCCTTGTAATTACATTCACTCAGATAGAAGAAGCAAGATCAATGCACTGAGGTGACCCTCTTTTAGTTTTGGAGTAATTTGAGACGATGTGACGAAGTGTTTTTTTTTTACTGAAAGCACTGCACATGTAGAGAGGCTTTCTACGAAGGTTTTAATTCAGATCGGTTTGTGAAATGGTATCTGAAAGGTGTATGCACCGTGTAATATTGACCCACGAGTGGTGTACATAAAGTTGTTTTGTGATGATGACTGGATTCCTTAAAATATATGATGTTCTAATTGAGACAAATTTATAAAGATGAGATATTAAAGACTATATAAGGACTCGTCCTTGAAGATACAAGTAATGTAAGCTTACGATAGTCTTCTGTGGTTTTCGTTCCTGACCCAGGGCGTCTGCATGGAGAAAGGTTTACGTCACGAGGTTTTGTTGTCATGGACAAAGATACAAGTCTAACTGAAGTTAAGTGGATCAGCTTTGTTTCATTTACATTGCAATAAAAAAAACCTTTTCTTCAAAATGTACTGTCTTTTCTTGGCTTATGGTAGTTTCTTCAATAACAAAGTCTGTAGGTGTTAAACATGCAAAACGTCACTTCTGCTGGTATAGTGTAAAACATCTATCACAATGTGAAGAGGAAAACCCAAGTTCAGCTACTGCAGGAATTCCTCTTTAATATATGCCAATGCTGCACAGCTTCATTAACTGCCACTTATATTCACTGTGTACTGGGAACCTGTAGTAGATGTTTAGAAGTTATTAGTGCTCAGCTGCCTAATTATTTAGTTGAAGCTATAATAATGTAGGAAGGACCTCAGTCAGATAATCAGGCCTTCTCGTTATCTGCAGTCATTTGTCATAACCACTAGATGGCAGTACTGCATTGGTTCATTCAGCCCTCACTGTTTTCAGTCTAATTCAATTTGGAAAATAATATGGGGTAGTACTGATGTATAAAGGTAAAATTAGAGCTCCACTGGTCCTTGTGCCAAGCCTTGACCCAACTAAAACCCCAAATGGTGAAATCTCCTTCTTCTCTGGACTTAAAAACAACAACAGACTACACCTCATACATTTCTAGTGACTAATAAAGGAAGTTTCACAGATACTACCAAACAAACTAGTATTTAACTGAGTAAAAAAGATCTTAACCCACACTGCTCGTTTTGTAATTTACTGAAACCTTATTTCATTGATTTTGACACTGTGGGTTTTTGAAAATTTTTAAGAAAGGCCTGGCCAGATTTATAATTAATCATCCTGAATCTGATTTTTCTTTATATCTGGAAAATGTTTTGTTTTGTTTGAATAAGGTATATAAAGACAAAGTAAAACTGCCAGTCATTTTGAGTCTTTATGTAACTGTACCCCTACACTCTTAGCAAAGGGGTTCTTTGGCTTGCAACAATGGTAGAACCCATTTGGTGCTATATAGAACACTTTTCAAAAAGGTTCTAAATAGAGTCATCTACAGCACATTCCCCATCAATCTGAAGAACGCTTTCACAATGCAAAGAATCCTCAAATCATTCAAAGGGTTCTATGAGTGTTCATGGTTCCATATAGAGCCATTTTCTTGACTAAAGAACTCTTGAAGAACCATCTTTTTAAAGAGTGTATATGTAGTTTAGTTTATGTTCATTAAGTCTGTTCTTGAAATTGATACGTCTTGCTGAAGTATTTATTCAATCAATTAATCAACCAATCAATCAATGGATCTCACAGCCTCACTAAACACAGGCTACTAACAGAGCTGACTAGCATGTGGATCCAGCAAGCAGAGCGGAAAGGAGCTTCCATTGAGCTGTTTGGTCGCAGCTACTGTGTACTTACAGTTTAAAATCATCCCAAAACGTTTGTTCTCTATGGATGAATTGATTATTAATTGAAAGCTGTAACGGTGTTCATTAAACACAGGAAAAATTCACTCCAGATAATAACAAAAATTACCCTCTGTCCTGACCACTAGATGGCAGTGTCAATACTTTGCGTTCCTCAGCCGGATCTCTGATTCGGTACTGAAGCGCTCTTTACTGTGTTACATTGTCAGATATCGAAGCTGACTGACTGTTCATCAATAACCATAAACGACACCGATTATAGAAAAAGCTGCTTATCGATAAGGTGGTTCAGGATTTAGGTAGGCAGTGTTTTACCATACAAAAGGCCTCACTGCATTCTTGGATGCCAATGAGTCAGAATTTAGCCTATTCTGTGAAACTACGTGCGAAACCTTTGCTCAATAAAGTCGTGACGGACTCATCACTGCTTTAAGTCATAAAACTCCAGCAAGCAAAGTTTCAAAGCTGACGACGTGGATTTACTGTCAGTGAGTGAGAGATACTGGAATCATGAGGACCATATAACATTGTTTTTGTTCATAAACCTCCTGCTCGACTGTAATTGAGTAATTAGGTATTTACGTGTACGTCATGTTTTACGTCAGTTCGTGAAAGTGCTTAAAAAATTAGCATTTTCATCTGTAGGCTAATTAAATACAGTAGTGTGCAAACGTTTTAGGCATCTGAAAACATCTGTATCTGTACATGAAGCATTTTTTTCAGCAAGAAAAATGTGAATAAATGCAAATAAACAGTTAAACAATGCACTGTGACTTGATGTGTTAGCCTAACATTTTCCAGATCTCTCCTTGAGGAAGCCCTGTGTTACAGTAGCAGTATTTACAGTGTTTACATCCAATACCCAGTTCAGCTAATCAGTCCTTTATAAATCAGGAGCTACTCATGGAACTTCACAAATCTATGAAATGGCTGGAGTTCACTGAGGGGTCAGGAACCAGTCCTGTTTTTTTCTTATTCTTTTAAGAAATATATCAATAATCTTTTAAAACTCCCGTTACGTTTTACTAAATTTATGTTTATTTGTTTTTATTTCATTGTCATATAGTGTTTTACTGGCCAAAACACAAATGCTGCCCAGATAAATAATGCTCTTGGCTAGCATAAATGTTATGGAATAGCATAAAAACATAAAAATGCATAGTTATTGCTTATGCTGGTGGTCTAAGCTGGTGACCCCAGCATGGTCACACTGGTAGACCAGCATACCAGCATCAAAACACAACATATCACTGCTGTCAGAACAAAACCTCGTATCTTCCTCTTTTTTATTTTCATTTTTTGGCATAATTTGAAAATGTCCGTTGCCCTTTACACTGTGCGTCGATTTCATGATGAATGGACAAAAGAAACAGCCCAAAATGACTTGGAAAAAATTCTGGTTCTGGTTGTTTTTGTTCTTCTCCGGTAAAATTACCATTTTGGAGATACAAGGTTTTGTTCTGACAGCAGTGATTTGCTGGTTTTGCTGCTGACCAGCACACCAGCATCCAAAACACAATATATGCTGGTTTTGCTGCTGACCGACAATGCTGGTCTGTGCTGGTTTTTCTAGAAGGGCATGTGATTATTTTATATCTCTTTTCTCAAAACTGAGCAGAGCAAATTCTAATGGCAGGTTCCATGGAAGGCTAATCAGATAACACCATTTAATTTAAGACAAGTGAAACGTGAAGGAATCTGGAAGTTATGTGTGGGAAGACATTCAGGACTCTGTTGCGAAAACGAGTGCACTCCAGCATGGAAAGAGGCTGATAATGACAGGATTAAAAAATTCACAGTTGGATATCACTGAACAGAAAGCGACTTTCCTGGTCTGTGAACTAGAACCCTACTGAAAGAAAGCTTCAGGGCGATTGGACCACATTTCTGGCCCTTCAGTACCATCAACAACCAGGATTGTAGGATTCTATGAGAAACATATCTAATAGTACAAGGTCTTTACTGATAAACAAGCATACACATGGCGGGAGTAAATATGACTATATGAATATCATCACAATACACTTTTCTGAGCATAATGAGTAGCATCATCCCACTGTGACAATTTTATTTTACTTTATTTTTTACAGATGGTTAGATTTTTTGTGCTCCTGTTACTTCTTAAAAATTTTAATTTTGCAAACATTGAAATAAAGGTAGGTTATTTGAGGGTTCTTAGTAAAGGCAATGATTATATAGATCTGTAAGGACGCAAATAACCATTTGAATGTTTAAATTATTCTTCACTATGGAATGATTACATATAACAACAAAAATAGTTACATACTATTTAGATCCTTTTTTGCTAAGTGTTTTGCTGTTTTCTCCATTCCATTCTAGTTCACAAATCTATGAAAAACTAAATATTTATTAAATATATATATATTCAGTTACAATGTACAAAAAAAGTTACATATTCAGAATACTCAGAATACATTTAGAATACATACTGATAAGACACATAGGAAAAGCTGCTGTAATTTTGACTTAATTCAACTGTTCCCAGCTGTTAGTGGTTGGTAGTGGTTTGCAAAGAAGATGTTAATTGAGGTCTTCTTTAGAGTTCATATTGTGACATATATCATGCATCGTAAAAACGCCTTTGAGAATCATGATATTTTTGTACCATCGCCCACCATTAGCTGCACTCATCCTAGTCAGCAAGACCTCTTTGGGTTACAGATTAAAATCAGTCCTTAAGTACTATATTACAAATCAGTAAATACATTAAAATCCAGTAGACAGTATTTAGCCGAGGCTTATTAATCTGTGTCCAGGACATTCTTAAGAATGCATTCTTCTGCATTGGCACTGTGACACTCTGGGCTAAGTAGTGTCAATGGGCCCCATTTACCAATATCTTCCTAAGTTTTGTTCTTGAGAAAGGTCCTAAGAAAAAGTCTACGTCAGATTCATGGCATCTTAAACCACAGAATTGTTTGCACCTTTGTGCTCTTTAGCGTGTTCTTACCAGAGAACAATAGGAAAATGTCATAATCTTCTTGGAGGTGGGATAATGCTATTGGGTTGTTTTTCAGGGGTTGGCCTAGACCCCTTAGTTCCCTTAGTGAGGGAAATTTTAATGCTTCAGCATAAAAAGAGATTTTGGACAATTGTCTGCTTCCAACTTTGTTGGAACAGTTTGGGGAAGAACCTTTTCTGTTCCAGCATGACTGAGCCCCAGTGCAAAAAGTAAGGTCCATAAAGGCATGGTTGGGTGAGTCTGGCGTGGAGGAACTTGACTGGTCCTCACAGAGCCCTGACCTCAACCCCAAGGAACACCTTTGGGATGAAGCAGACTGGAGATTGTGAGCCAGACCCTCTCGTCCAACATCAGTGTCTGACCTCACAAATGCTCTTCTGGATGAATGGGTAAATATTCCCACAGACACACTCCAAAATCTAGTAGAAAGCTTTCCAGAAGAGTGGAAGCTGTTATAGCTGCAAAGGGAGAACCAACTCCATATTAATGACTATGGATTTAGAATGGGATGTCATAAAAACTCCTGTAGGTGTCCCAAATACTATATTATAGATACAGGTGATCCAAAAAGATTAATCCGATTTCTAAATGATTTATTTCACTTGTATATCATTACAGAACAGTGCAGTAAATTGTAAATGGTTTAAGTGAGCATAAAGTTTAGTGCTCAATATGACCCCTCTTCCAACTGTGCGGACAACATCAACACCATAGTCAAATTCATCCAAAATTTATTTAGTGGTTAAGTATTGTAAAAGTTTTCTTCTAAAAATGTAAAATGTAACTTGGACTGTATACAGATACTTAATGTCTATATTCTGAAGACATATCGCTGCTGTTGGAAAAAAAACCTCCAACAAAACATAAGAGATGTTGTCAGAACAAAACATCTCCAAAATGGCTTTACAGAAAAAGGAAAAAACCTACTTTACTTTTAATGTAAGTCAATGGAACCAGACTTTTTTCAATTTTGGGCTGTTTATTTTGGTCCATTCATCATGAAATCCACACACAATGCAAATGGCAACAGGTACTTTCAAATTAGGTGAAAAACCGAAAAACCTGTGTTCTGTTACTTCCCAACCCTGTATATAAACAGTACTGAAACTTTATCAATGATTTTAGTAGTGATTGTCTCAGTAGTGAAGATTTTGAGCATATATTTATACATATACACATAATGATCAAAAACATTTCAAATGCCTTAAATTTTTAATTTTTTGTAATTTAGAAAAACGCTTGAAACTCTAATGTGGCGATTTAAACAACAAGTGGATTGCGTACGTGATGGAGGAGATGAAGACAAAGGTGTTCCTGTAGAGTTTAGGAAAAGGCTGGGTCAATGTGTGGGAGTGGACACCACAAGTATTTCCTCAACCTATTTTATGACCTAACAGGAATTCTCATTTATGCCAACAACTTCCTTAAGCCTTTTCCAGAACACCTGGGTTATGTTTAACAGCATGGCTAGATAACAGGCAGGTGTGTCTACACACTGGCAAGTCCAGGAGGTGCCAATGATTACTTTAATGTGCAATCAACATAAAAATCCTTTGTGTATGATTATTAAATTACAATCAGTGTTAATAATTGCTTTATTTTCGGATGCAGTTCCACAAACATGCTTCTTAGCACATATAAATGGTGCAGATTATTTCATTGATAAATTTCAATATACGTTACTACAGGTGAGGTAATAGCTTTAAAAAAATGCTCTCATTAAGATTTGAATGACATGCTGGACTAAAGGCAATAGTGAATGTAAAAGGAAAAGACCCTTAACTGCAGATGTTAAGAAGATGTAAAGTGTGCATCAAAAAAAGTGTCTGCTGTTAATAAATGTACAAAACCTTACACCAGTGGTCACCAACCCTGCTCCTGACACACAAAAGCATGACAGGTAACTGCTTATTTACTGACCTGAAAAAGTGTCATTGCCTTTTTGGGGCAGGGGGTGGGGGGTGTTTTGGTGGGTACCAGCAACTGAACCAACCAAACAATGGCCAGATTGTGGGTTGGAATTAGACTCTGCAGGAAGATGGGTGACCACTGCCTTAAAATATGTTTTTTCCCATCCAGTGGTTGTCACCTTGCTTGGGATCACAATACAATTAACCACATTTTAAGCTATAAAACACCTACTTATATCTCAATATATATATATATATATATATACATATACATTTTCCTAAAACAAAAGTACAAATCACCCAGATCACTGAAAAACTGCTTAAGTACTTAACTTCTCTGGTCTATAGCTTTAGCCTATGTAAGTCGCTTACTCCTCATTTATAAAACACCTACTTATATCTCTAAATACTCTTACAGTAACTTAGTTGCAATGTACTACTGTAAATGTAAGCTACAAATATAAAAACAAGTTAAAATTTAAAAGGCAACAGAAAAAGGTGTTGTGACTCAAACAGCCAATGAAGAGGTATGTTTAACAGTTAGGAACAAACTGAAGAAGCCTAGTTAATGTTTTCTTCAACTTTCGCTAACTACAATTTAGGATGCTCAGAAAATTCCACAGGACGCTTATGTACTTTTGTTTTTCAGTTTCACTGCTGTAAGTTAAGCACAACACGTAACTGCTTATTTACTGTTTGACCTAAAAAAGTGTCATTGCCTTTTTTGGGGGGGATGTTTCGGTGGGAACCAGCTAATGATTTTATGGTTATGATCTGTTATCTCCAACTCACCATCTGAATCACGTTAAGTTACCGTAACACCTGAAACAGGACTGATGGCAAAATTACAGTAACACAGGCTGACGTAAACATGGTTTTAGGAGTTAAGTTTAGGATGAAATTGCTAATTCAATATATTGGCTCAAATGATCTGTCAAATGAAAGTGGATTTAAGGCCTGTTTTGAAATGTACTTTATCTGAAGGTTGTGCTGCCAAATGAAGGCAGAATATAGGTCAAATGTAAATAGGTGAAAAAAGAATGTTATTCAGTGGCGAAAGTAATGGATTTACTGAAAATCACTTAATTTCAACAAAATTTACCAAAGAATTATAGAAAACATATATATAGGCCTGTATACACGCATGTAAAGAAGCCATGAAAAATGGGGGATTGGGAAACTGGGAAAGTACAAGGCAATAATGAGGTTTTATTATATAGTCTAATGCAAAAGGTTTTACACCCCCAGTAAAATTACATTTTGTTGATTTTCTAAGTGAAAATAGGTGAATACAACCTTCACATGGAACAAACTTTAATATGGCATTTGTTTGCAAATTTTAGGGCATAGTTACTGTTTATTTGCTGAGTTTAACATACTGGAAAACATAAAAGGCCACATTATATGTTTTTTTTTTTTTGTCCAATGTGATAAATTTACCAAATAATCAGCAATTGTGTATTAAAATGTGCAGAAGTGTGTTCTCTGTAGAGGATGTGTTCACTTTTCTTCACACAGAAAATCAATAAAACGTCAGTTGACCAGTGGCACACAAACTTCTGCATACGACTGTAGGTAGGTTATATTATAGGTGGATAGTGTGGAAGCAAAAATTAGTGTTTACTCATACTTTTCTTTTTATTTCCCCTTTCATTTATACTCATATAGAGCTGACATTAAAATGCATAATATAATACATCATAAAAAGTTACTAACTTTCTCAAAATATTGTTTTATCTTAAAAAAAGGAAAATCTCTCTGAGGGGAGAGAAAAGGCCAAGAAAAGTTGTGTTTAGATGGCATGGTAAATAGTTAATGGTGTCTAGAACTATATCTTTATTTTTTGCTTTTTATACACAAGTGCAAGTTACCATCTAACCTGCTGCTAAGTGTAATTCTCTGACAGCACAGGAGCACAATAAAAACGTGATGAAATTATGTTCTCTACTATAAATGTGCTAACCTTATGTTCTTGTGTATTTTGATGAGTACACCACAACCATTTTAAGTCAAATGTTGGAATAATAAATACACAACTAATCAGTCCAGTATATTACAAGTGACTTGTGTGTGATTAACTTGAATTCACTCAGTACATATTACTCAGTTGAGTATCATAAAAGTTCCTTAACATATAGAACCACTAGACCGACAATTTTAAATAAATCCAACATTGTGGGGGTAATCCATAAAAATAATCTGTCCAGTTAATTAAAAGTTACTCAAATCACTTTAGTGCAAATTTACTTGAATTTCTTAAGCACACATTCCTCAATCAAGTATCTACTTAACAGAAGCTACTTAACAAAGTTATGTGGAACCAGTTGAGATTTTGTGTAATACTATTTTAATGCACAGTGAGTCTGCAGACATGAAAAACCAGTTGGTCGTCTCTGCAACCACAACTCAAATTAATTTTACTTTTGAGAATAGTACACACACAAGCGAGTTTAGAACAGTTTAGAAGAAGCACTTCAGAATATAATATGCGTAAGTTTTACTCAGTGTGCGAAATACCCCTTGGTGTTCAGGGGCTCCCACGTTAGCTGGCTGTTAACTCTCTTGCTGGTGCTGATGCTAGCTTCATCAATTACCTTTCCCTGAATTTGTATCTGAGCTTCTATTTTTCCTAACAGACAGCAGCATAACGTCAGAATATATTCATTTTCAGGGACCCTCCACCAGACTTTTGAGTCAGGGGGGTCAAAGAGTTTAGGAATTAGGAAGTCCCAGACCCCCCGGGACACCCTGTATTTCGCACCTCGCTTTCATACAGGTAATATTTTAGGAACTTCTATTTTTACTCAAATAAAAATACAGAAGCACTGTCCCTTTTCCACTCCTGGCCTCAGACAATACAGAAAGATGGAAACTTCTGGTTCAGACAAACCAGCTCAGCGTATCATTTCTCAAACGTCAAAAACTAAAGCAGCGTCTATTGCATTCCTACGTGTTTCTTTACACCTTCATCACTTAAAGCAGTTTCCACCTACACGAATGACGCAACAGAACTTCTCCGGGAGCGCGAAACTGAGTTGCAGTGGAATTCTCAGCTTCACCGCTATTGGCTAATAGGTCCCGCTATCTGCGCTGGGATTGGCTTGCACGTGCACGCTCATCAGGCCACGCCTCCAGTCTCTATCTGTCTATAAAGGCCTAATCATTCCGGAGCTCATCACTGATTGCAGGAGGGTGGAAGTGCTGGTACTGATACCAAGAGGAAGCTATAAAACCGAGTGACTTACTCTGCCTGTCCAGCATGGAAGAAGAGAAGAGATACCCAGTAAACGTTCGCCTTATCGGAGTGTTGCACAAGGAGGCAAGCAAAGTAAGGCAGCTTGTGGCTATCGTTAAGAATTTTGTATTATGCAGCTGTGGGGAATAAATGAGGAAAAACACTGCATTCACTTACTAAACGCCTGTTGTTTTCCTCTAGCTGTACATGACCTCCGTTCTTTGGTCAGATCAAAACGAGCTCATCATCTACAGAAACCTGGAGGACTTCAAGACACTGCATGTGAGTTGTTTTTGTTGTTTTCCTTTTTTTTTAAAAAAAAAAAATCATTATTTATCATGGTTGTAACGCAGTTCACTTTATTCATTAATGCGCTCTCTTATTCTCGTTCTTTTTTTTTTTAGAAACAACTGAAGAAGAAGTTCCCCTCAAGCTCTCTAAGAAAGTCAGAAAGAGTTGTTCCCAAGTTCAAAGGTGAACGCACAGCATACGTTAAAAATGTAATAAATAAATGAATATTAAAGTGTGGTCACCTACTGGGCCTTGGACAGGGCATTTATGCGGCTCTTTGGGCTTCTCTTTGCAGCTAAGGTGCGAGGCGCTCAGAGGAAGGGTGTGGGCCGGTCAGTGCTGAGGCTGCGCTCTCTGGAGCAGTACTGCAGCGCTCTGCTCACCGAGCCGCGCATCGCTCAGAGCCCCGAGCTCAGCAGCTTTCTGCTGCCCAGACCAGACGACCTCAAACCTGAATTCGCACAGAACAGGTATTTATTTTTTTACTAATACCCATTAAAGTCAACATATTATCGAATAAAATGGCCGTAGCGTCTCTAGAGGAAGGGCTTAGTATGTTTCTCTGCTAGCCATCCCAGCATTCTGCTATTAGCTTTAGCAGTGCATTAATTTTCTTCATTATTTTACTTGTGGCGATGGTCCTTCTCTTTCTTCGTTGTTTTTGTGGCATACTTTAACACTTACTGTTCTGCAGTAGTGTAGTTCACTGGTGAAGTTTCCATGTAGTTGTTGACAGGGTTGAAAAAAGTACAGTTAAATTATAGCTGCGTCCAAAACCACACACTTGTATACTTCACATAGTGGACATAGTGTAGTGGACTACACTGGTGGTGTAGTATTTTTGACATACTGCTTAGTATTAGGTTTGGATGCAGCCCATATTAAGGTACTCATTTAAAGTGGAAACATGGGGCCAAAAATACTAGAAAGTCAAAAAGTATAGACTTTTAAATGTACTCAAGTGTAAGTGTAAAAAAGTAAATGGTTACAGATCAAAATGCAAAGGAGCTCCTCCATTTGGCAAGAGAAGCTCTAAACTCGGCCTGTAAATGTTTAATAGATGAAATAAAGAGTAAAAAGTACTTTTACAAAGTACAAAGTATTGCTTTATACACTACAAGTTGGCAAATGCAGACAGAAATGTAGTTCTAACCATCCTATTCATGGACATTTTGTTGTAAACTTGTGCCCATAAACAATGTAAGATATAAATATATTACATATGAATATGTAAAATAATTAAAATAACCCAAATTTTAGGCTTATCACTATATACCTGAATCAAGCCTGTGTTGTACTTTGGGCTAACATTTGTTACACTTGTATTAATCGTCTTTGAGTCTGTCAAAGTAAGTAGTGAAATGTTGAAATTGGTGTTCTGTTTGCCGCAGCATTATGATCATGCCGTCTGAAGAGTCCCTGGGCAGAAGCGGTGGTAGAGAATCAGATGCTGGAGTAACGCAGCCGTTTGTGACCGAGACGTATCGCTGCATCGCTGCCTACAAGACAAAAGACACAAAGAACCGACCCTTCAAGGTTGAGGCGGATGAGATTCTGGATGTGCTCATCAAGGACAAAGCAGGTGAGGCGGACGACTGACTAAAGTGACATCTTCATTTAAACAGTTTAGATGGAGTTGGTGATATGAACTCACTGCATTATGAATAGAGCTTTTTTTATGTTTTAACACTGAGATGTATTAGTTGTAGATCTAAGTTTGGTATCTGTCTCTGCTCAGGATGGTGGTTGGTGGAGAACGAGGCCAAGTGTCTCGCCTGGTTTCCTGCTCCATATCTGGAAAAGGCAGAGATGGATTATGATGACGATGAGGATCTGGCAGATGGTGAATGTAAGATTGCATCTTCTGAAATTAAGTTTCTCTTCTCTATAAGATAAACAAGCTTCATATAAACATTCATTTTCTTCCCTGTAGGTGTTTTGTATGTTGCTGCCAGAAGTTACAAATCCATGAACAGAGACGAACTATCTTTAGAGATTGGCTCCGTGGCTGAGGTGCTTCAAAGAACTGATAACGGATGGTGGCTTGTCAGGTAAACAGATATCTCTTTGACTGCAGACAAAAGACCAAATGATGCGTGAAACATGATACGCATCAGGCATGCATGCCATTCATTAGTGAATGTTCAGAGATACCTACCTGTCAGCTGTGCATGATGGAGTTGTTTTCCAAAAATGTTCCAGAGAAAATGCTAAAGTCAGTTTAATTAGGAGCTACAGTATCTTTACCTGATATTAATTTTGCACCCTTTTATTTCAGATACAACAGCAGGACGGGCTACGTCCCTTCCATGTACCTGCAGCCATACAATAACCCACAAGCACGCGTAGTTATTGCTCAAAGGGAGAATCGTGGTTCTTCACTAAACCTGGCTGAGCTGCAGAACCCAGGCCACGAGCTTAGTCGATCCCAGGGCAACCTCCTGCAGCTCCCAGGCAATGGCTTGCGTCTCGCGGGTAAGCCCAAATCCTGCTCCATGGATGTGATCCCTCACCCCCAGGCCAGTCCCATGGCCCAGCGGGTCGCACCCACCATCCAGGTGCAGCCTGCAGAGGAGGGAAGAGACAGAAGCCTTAGCAGTGTCAGCAAGGGCAGCGAGACAGGCTTCAGCGACGACAGTAGCTCCTCAGACAACGAGTCCCGCAGCACCAGCCCCTCAGACATCCAGCAGAGTCGCACCCCCACACCCATAGTAACCGGCCGCTTGACACCGAGCAGCACCAAAGAGGGCAAGCTAACGACCAGCACCTCTGACCCTAACATGTTCAAGCTGCCTAGCACCCCCAAAGTACCCCCCAGGCCTCAGGCGCAGGAGATCCTCAAACGCTGCACTACCATCACCCGCAAAAATGCCTCCAAGAACCAACAGTCACCTCCGCTTGAGGTCTACAGTCGCTGAGCAGAACTTTGGGACTTGTTCAGAATGTTAAGCCAGATCTGGGCAGGCTGTTGGCCAGGATCCAGACAGGTGTTACAGGTTCAGATCAGCATGCAATGAAAGAGAACCAGCTGTTACTGTCATAATGCTGTTTATGTTTAGTTTATTTTATGGGCCATTGTCATCAGTAGATTATATCAGGCCTGTAGTCAAAGATGTTTAACTATAGACTGATAGCGCTGAAAAAAACAGCGATGCACTACAGCTGCATGTTGATTGTGTATGTATGCTGCATGTTGATTCTGAGAAGCGATCTCCAAAATTGCAGAAAAAGTTTTTTCTTTACTTGTTGGATAGAATACATTGTAAATAGGGGGCATAATGATATTGGAGTCTTATCAGCATCAGCAGACGTTTGCTTAAAAAAAGATTTGACCAATATTTTTAACCATTATATGAAGACATATTTATTGTACTCAGAATGTGTAGGTGACGCCGGGCTACTGCACTAAAATTTCTGCATTTTATTCATTTTACTGCATTTGTAACCCTCTACGAATAAATATATATTTTCCAAAACCCTAATCCTAATTTCTACATTTTATAAATGTAAAATATATGTAAATGTTTCAGCTTCGGCCGATATGTATGTGAAAAATATGGTTTATCTGCATTGACCCACAGTCCCATTTCCCTCATTTTAAATAGTGGTATGTTGTATCATAGCTTAAGTTTTTTTCCTGTTTATTGTTATGTGATTTAACTTTGTGCTGCACTGATCTCACTTTTTCACTTTTCCATACTGGAAAATATGCATTGTTTACTGCACTTATCAACTGATCTTCTCAGCATTAGTATTGTAAAGAACTATGTGTCTGTCTCAGATGTTGTTACATGTAATCCATCAATGATAATGTGATCTTACATATTAAAGCAGATGTTTTTTGTACAATATAATTACAATTTGCATTATTTGGTACATGAGAATGTTAAATGTAGAATGCTTACATTAAAAATATGAAAAATGAAAATTTTCATGTAGTTTGAGAGCATCATTTCCTTCTTAAAGCCACAATTAAGAATAGCCTTCTTCAACATAACATGAAATTATTTTAACTACTTTAGATGTAACTTTCCCAATATGATTATTTTCTGCAGTTGTAGGTTAAATTAAGTTTGACACCATTCTTTACAAACAATGCAAATATAAACAAGCTTTTTAAAGTGGTTTTTAATGCACTTTTGAACCAATTCTTTCAACGTTTTAGTAAAATCTGAACACAGACCCACACTAAAATCCTCCATTGTGACTAAAACCATGTTTTTTTCACATCTTGAACAGCACACAATCATTTCCAGCCAGTGATAACTGCTGTCAGGCAAAACATACTTTTCATATGTGAAACATACTTTGTTCACTACGGAGCCTCCACACCGTGTCGTGTGTCTTGACAACTGAAAATGGAAGGTAAAACATACTCAAGATAATCTGTGGAACAATGTGGATTCTCCAGTTCTACAGAACCTTCGAGAATTCTTGGCAGAGCTCAAGCTGTAAGTTAAGGCAAATGATGAAAGGGGTAGAAAATACTCAGTTAGTATACCTACAAATTATTTTTTAAGTTTTTGTATTCATAGGCTTTTCTAAAAACATCCAGATAAATGCACATTCAATTCATGTAAAATAAAACCATTCAAAGCTACGTTAATTCAGCTTTTTTCAAGGGCCGGTACTAGGCCTAGTTGTCAACATTCAATTCTTATTTTAACCATATGTATTATGTTTGTGCAAGCAATGCTGCATGGTAGAATGGTGCACCACCACTCCTGTGTGTACTAAACCTTTCTGCAGGTCTTTTGTTGTCATATGGGTGTTTTCTTGGAATTTCTGGCCAAGATACAAGCAGTTCTTGGTCTTCCAGATCTTGCCTGGACTTTCACTTGTTTACTTAATGACATTTTGAACAGGGGGAATTGTGAGCTGGAAGCGCTTTGATATCTTTTATAGCCCTTCTGTGCTTTATAGGCTTCAAATAGCTTCATTTTAGTGACATTTTATGAACATCTAAGAATTTGTGGATAAGGTTTACGACGAGACAAACTCACTAGTCTATGTTACACTGAGTGAGATCAGCTTGTGCTCAGCATTAGCTACTTTACTTTTACAAGTTACTTTACTGTTCAAACATTTACTTTTTACTTTCTAGATGCTTTCTGGCTTTTGCTCAAGTATGTTTTGCTCCACACTTTCACTTTTAATTGAATAAAATTTTACAGTCCTCATACTTTCACTTAAGTTTATATGTAACTTTTCCATTCCTCATAGGTAGACATACTACATGTATATTAACTTTTAACAAATATTAATGTAGAATGATGTCATCTTGTTTGAGAAACAGAAATTAATAAAGAAATTGTATTTGTTTTTGATAACTTGTGAAAGAAAAAAGTAGTGGACTTTTGGACCCCATCATACATAATACCCATTTTGAAACAAATAGCAGGAAATACACTCCTGTTACTCTGAACATCTGTACATCTCCTACAGTCAATCAACAGATTCCCCCTCCCCACAAAACAGTGTTTTTGCATTGTGCATATCTTCCCTTTCCATGATTACACAGACATGCCACTGTTACATAGCCGACACTTCCAGCGTACACTTTTGTTGTTTTGTAGACTCAATGAATTACTCAATCCTCAATTCAGGTCAGAATGCTTTAGTGACACTAAACTAACCGGCTGTGTTGTGTAAATGTTTGTTTCTGTAATTAAAGCAGTTTCCCAATCCTGATCCTGGAGACACACTGTCCTGCACATTGTAGTTTTCCCTGCTTTTATACATCCACTTTAAGTCAAGTCAGTCAAGTCAAATTTATTTATATAGCGCCTTTTACAACAGATGTTGTCACAAAGCGGCTTTACAGAAAATCCAGGTCCACGCCCCCAGTGAGCAAGCCTTGGCGACAGTGGCAAGGAAAAACTCCCTCAACAAGAGGAAGAAACCTCAAGAGAAACCAGACTCAAAATGGAAACCCATCCTCTTCTGGTTGACACCGGACAACAGCACAGACACAAAACAGTATTAGTGGATACAGTTTTACACTTCTGTGCAGTGCGCCTGCCGCATCAGTCACGTCAGACCCTCTTAGGACGGGCAGCTGCTCAGCTCAGGGAAAGAGAGGGGGAGGGGGGATAAGGGGGACAGATAGTTAGTTCAGCACCAACATTACCAGATTACCATAGGACTCTCTGTCTCAGATCTGCGCCTTATTCTAACAGGAAAACAAATTAACCAAAGGCTTGACTAAACAGGTAAGTTTTTAGCCTAGACTTAAAGATGGAGGCTGTGTCTGAGTCCCGAACACAGACTGGTAGGTTATTCCAAAGCTGGGGGGCTTTGTATGAAAAGGCTCTTCCCCCTGACGTAACTTTATTTATTCTAGGTACTAATAATGAGCCCGCACCTTGTGATCTATGTGGGCGGGTCGGTTGATAATAGGAAATAAGGTCACTGAGGTACTGAGGAGCAAGGCCATTCAAAGCTTTATATGTCAGTAGAAGAATTTTGTACTCGATGTGGAATTTAACTGGCAACCACAATTTTGGTGAGAACTCTGGCTGCAGCATTCTGGACTAACTGAAGCTTGTTAAGGTTTTGGCTGGAACAACCAGAAAGCAGAGCGTTACAGTAATCTAACCTGGACGTGATAAAGGGGTGAACTAATGTTTCTGCATCCTGCAGCGACAGTGCATTTCTTAATTTAGCGATGTTACGAAGGTGGAGGAAAGCTATTCTGGTAATATTGGTAATATGCTCATCGAAGGCCAGATCTGGATCGATCGTGACACCAAGGCTATTTACAGATGTGCCTGGTGCAATTGAGAAACTACTGAGATTAAGAGTTAATGTAGGCAGATTATTCCTAGCAGCAACTTACTTGACATCCAGTCTTAAATGTCTTTTACACAGTCCTCTATCTTATTAAGTTCAATTTTGTCCTCTGGTTTAGCTGAAATATACAATTGTGTATCATCGGCATAGCAGTGGAAACTGATGCCATGTTTTCTAATGATGGTACCTATTGGTAGCATATATAAGGTAAATAATATGGGTCCTAAGAGAGAGCCCTATGGAACACCATACTTTAGTCTTGTGAGAGCTGATGGTTCACCATATACATTAACAAACTCAAAGCGATGACTAAGGTAAGATTTGAACCACAAAAGAGCTTTACCTGTCACTCCTACTAGTTTTCTCAAGCCTGTCTAATAGAATGGAATGGTCTATTGTGTCAAAAGCTGCACTAAGATCAAGTAAAACCAGTAGGGGTATGTTTCCTTTGTCAGCGGATAATAAAAGATCATTTATAATTTTCACTAACGCTGTTTTAGTACTTTGGTGAGACCTGAAGCCAGACTGAAATTTTTCATATATATAACTCCTATGCAGATGGGAACATAATTGTTTTGCCACGGCTTTCTCTAAAAATGTTTGAGAAAATGGGAAGATTTGAAATAGGTCTACAGTTTGATAACTCAGAGGGGGGCAAGACTAGGTTTCTTTATTAGGGGTTTAATAACACCTAATTTAAGAGATTTTGGAACATAGCCGAAGCTGAGAGAAGAGTTTATTATAGATAGAAAAGGCTTGGTTATTTCTGGCAAAACGTTTTTAAGTAAACCTGTAGGAATTAGATCTAGTATACAAGTTGTTGGAGTAAAGTAAAAGACTCCAGCGTCTCTGCAGTGGTTATACTGCACTCTAGATCTAGATTAGGATTATAGGACACTGCACTTGTTAGCTGCGCAGTAATGGGATGTTAATGGGTTAATTAGTTGGATCAGGTGTGTTTGATGCAGGAAAAACATTAAAATATACAGAGCAGTGAGAAACACTGCATTATAGAGTGGCCCCAAAATGTATTTGGACACTTTTACCACTTGACCATTAAACAGAGTGCTTCTAAAATGTTCAACAAAACATTAACCGTTTTAGAAAAACACTTTTTAAGCACATCAAACTGATTTAGAGAAATCCTAGAGAAGAACAGAGGTGGAGACACCAAAGTCTAGAACTGTTTTTCTTACAAAAGTATTCACTGATGAGATCGAACAAAGCAAAGGTATTTTGAATGCAAACCTGCAGAAGTATTTAAAGAAGTTGCTCAAGCGATGACAAACACAGCAACAGCCTTTTGAAAGGTCTTGACTTGGTTTGACATTGTTTCTTACACAATCAACTTACGTAGGTTAGGTATGGCACATACGTCCAAACACGTTTTTGGGCTACTGTACGTCAGGTATCTGAACCCATTTAAATTTGGCATTAAAAAGTCTGAACAATTGTGATTATACAGTCATCAGTTGTGTCTTGTGTGTTTATACTTTGTAAATGTGTTTTATTTGTTTATGCTCCTTATAATTGAAGCAGGATGTCAAAAAATGTTTCATACCTACAACAATATTTAAGAACAAAAAGCGGTAACTCACAAAGTAGAAAGTTTATTTTAAATCCATTGGAGTAATCACAAAGAAAAAGCTTGTCAGAAGACTACTTTAATTTTGGAGCTAGATATAAAATGTAGATGACTTTTTTTTTTATTCAGGTACAAATAATGTCCATCTCCCTGAAACAGGAAAAAGCAACCATTCAGATGTTAAGATGTTATGAATAATTGATGGAAACTCTACTACTGTTCAACTCAAGCTGTCCACTGAGGTTCCTGGATGTTCCGAGTCACAGCCACACTGCACTGTATACGAGGCCCCAAGGCCCTTTTCCATGACCTGCTGATAAACATATCAATCACCTGGCATCTCTCACTATGCAGGGGGTGGGAACGACAGACTTAGAGGTAGAAATTTCCATGACGTCTTCCTCGTCCGAGCTCTCTTCACTGGACACGTGGCCCCTGTTTTCAACCCCGTTTGTCCCCACCTCTTTCCTCGCCTGCCTGTTTGCACTTTTGGAGGTGCTGATGCTCTCCTCTTCCTCTTGCACTTCTTCATCACTGTCTGGTGCTTTGCTTTCATCATTATCATCTTCTTGTTCCTGCTGTTGGGCTGCATGGGTAGCTTTCTCCTGCTCAGACTGCTTGTCTAATATAAATATGCCCTGAGGACTGGCGTCCATCTCTTCCCCTTGTAGCTCCCCACTGCAGAAGACAAAGCACAATATCATTGATCTGTTAATTAATACTAAGAGCTTTCAAGTTTTATTTTGGCTCAAGATATGTAGAGGATTCCTTTCTTTATATTAGTGTAAGGCTAGACATATTTTGAGGTTCGATCTGAGTGTCAATTCAAAGGTCAAACAGTGTGTCACGTCACATCTCACAGTAGACACAGTACAAAGCGCTGCTGTACTACGTAGAATGTGTCGCAGTGAAAGCATCATAAACGTATTTTAAGGTTACTTTTACAGTCTACTCATTTAAAATAAATAAAACATTCAACTACATTTATCATATTTGGTATCAGTTTACTACCTTGTCACAAACTGGCTGTTTTCAAGCTAAAAGATACAAGAATAAAAAGGAATAAGCTACTAATGTTAGACAAGGCAACTTACCTTTAGCATTTGTCTTTTCACCTAAGAGACTAACTGCCTTTCTCTGTTTAAATTTCAAGCCACACTATCCACTATGGCTTTCTGTGGTCCCGATATGCCTTTACCTTAAATCAGGAATGGCAAAATGCTGAGCGGCACAAGCGCTGAGAACATTTGCGCATAGACGACGAATATCGGCTCTGGTGTGTACCTTCATTAAAAACAGTGGTTTTTAATTTCCGGACACTGCACAATGCGGCATGTCTGCTGTGAGGTGTCTTGAAGTCCAACTGTACTCTGATCAAAACTAGGCATCTGGGTGCATCCCATCACCGACAGCAGTTTTATTAGATTTAAATTTTAATATATCTGAACATTATTTTTTTCAACTGTATGGAACAATGTACTGAAATCATTACACCTTTATTTTATACAGATTTCAGTAATGCCCAGCTCATGCCATCTTCTACATGCTCAGAAATAAAGGCATGAAACTGTCACTGGGGCAGTACGCCTCTTGTCACTGGGGTGGGTCCATCAAGGGTTCATCTCAGTACCTTTGGTCAGGGAACATAATTGTTCCATAGTACATTAAAATGATGTTTTCTCCACACACCCCGTCTCATCTCCAGAATTTTTATTTTATTGTTCTGTTCTAAAACATTAGGTTATGAAAAGATACAAATATGTACTTTTCACCTGAAAAAAAACTTATTAAATGTGCACAATTGGACCTGTGCACAATCTGTACCTGCACAGAACCTTTATTTCTAACAGTGTAATAACAATTTCCCCACGGGAAATAAATTTCTTTCCGAATGTAAATAAAATGTTCTCTATAAGGGTATGTTATATGGCTGTAGCGACACAAATCTATTTTCTGTAATAAGAACTCTCAGATCGGAAATCTTTTTATTTACTTATTTTTAAAACATCACACTTCACTGAGCATGTGCATATCACTGCCATCATCCATAAACCGTGACGGACACTGTTAAAATGTCATCATGCATGTCCTTTTAGGGTACAGGTGTGTCACACTGATGACAGATATGGGTCACCTATGGATTACTTGGAAACGAGTACTATTCAAAGATTGCATCTCAATCAGAAGGAAAAAATAAGGCTTGTTTATGTGACCATAACCTCAGTTCATATTATCATTCTGAAATATACTGACAAAATCTTGCAATATGTTCACTTTTCATAGGGGAAATCATTACACCTTTTTTTTTTATACAGATTCAAGTAATGTCCAACTCATGCCATTTTCTACATGGTTAGAAATAAAGGCATCAAACTGTCACTGGGGTAGTACCCTGCTTGTCACTGGGGTGGTACCTTCAAGGGTACATCTCAGTACCTTTAGTCATAGAACATAATTGTACCGTAATGCATTGAAATTATATTTTCTAAGTTATATTGTCTCCACACACCCCGTCTCGTCTCCAGGCTTTTTATTTATTGTTCTATTTTAAAACATTAGGCTTATGAAAAGGTACAAATACATACTTTGCCACTGGGGAAAAAAACTTATGTAAGGTACACAATTGGACCTTAAAACAACTATTGTACCTTTGAGGTAACATTTACATTGTTTGGACCTTGATGAACAAAGAATGTACCAGCACAGAACCTTTATTTCTAACAGTGTACAAAAACAGTTGTTCCATAGTATTGCTGATTGGAAATGAATTTCTTTATGAATGTAAATAAAATGTTCACTATGTGCATATCATTGCCATCATCCATAAAACGTGATGGAAAATGATAAAATGTCATCACATGTCCTTTTAGGGTACAGGTGTGTCACACTGATGACAGATATGGGATCACCTACGGGTTACTTAGAAACGAGTACCATCAAAGATCGAATCTGAGCAAAAAAATTAGAAGAAGTGAGAAATAAGGCTTGTGTGACCATAACCTCAGATCATTACCTCATCAGTGCTGTTCCATACAAAAATTTAATATCTAAAAATATTCCATTGCTCGTACTTTAATAGTTGCATGCAATGAAAAAAAAAAGATAAATTGACTGTATATGGCAGTTACTCAGCAGATAAAATTTAAAGAGTAATGACAAGCCTACTTACTCTTTCATCATTCTGAAATATACTGACAAAATCTTGCAATAGGTTCACTTTTTTATAGGGGATTTTTATAATACAGACAACATAAAAGAACAAGACCACACAAGTAGTTTATTAAACCTGGCACTTGGTTAAACAGGTTATATCTAAATCTAGTATGTTATATTGCAACCACAAAGCTTCATTGTTCCCACACAAGAGCTGTCTGTTGTGGCAGCTTAGAAGGATGTTTAACCCATGTTGAGGAAAATGGCATTCATGCGTCCTTGGAAACGAAACCACTCGGATGCAGTGGAATGACTAATAGGCTACGTGCAGAAGCTAACAACAATTATGTCCTCATCAGTGGCCTTTAGTTGACATCTGGAATGTCTGTCTTTTAATCTCTGCTTCAGACAAAGCTATGTCTGGCATGGTGTCTGTTTAAAGAATGCTCCATGTCTGACTGAAACTGAGGATTATGCTAATCCAACTTATTGTTAACCCTCAAAACGCTATGGCAATTTCTGCTGACATAATTCGGACGTGGTAATTTTCACACTATAAAGCTTGGTCGGGGGGGAGCAGTGTGCTCACAATTTGACCTCAAACTCTGCCTACGAGCACAGCCATTGTCTCACAAGCCACTGCATGCTGTCGTTTTAATGGCTCCCTATCCAAACACCTGCATAAATTAGGACATGCTTCGTGTAAATGAAATGTAATGGATGCACCGGCAGTCAGGGGCTTGCTTTTACGCACTGAAAGGGATTCATATGCTGCCATTTGTAAATAATCAAAAAGTTTTTGAAGAAAAAAATCTGATCATAGCTATTAGCTGTTTGAATGATGACACTCAAGCTATCTTGCTATGGCTATCACTACAGCCTAGCCTAGATGTTGGCTTTAATAAAACAACTACACTTAAAAAATGTACTACGTTTTTAATGCTTTTCACAGATACATACAGATGACAGCAGAGAATTGCACTGCCACAGAATTTTATATGGGTTAAAAGCTTTACCAGACATTGTGTCCATTTTAATTTTAATTTAAAAAGAGTTTTTACCTGTCAAATACTGGTAAACCCTGATCTGTGCATCACGTTTTCAGATTTATATCTCTATACCTTATAAGTCATGTTGGGTTAACACGTTGAAAATCTGTGCTGCTGCCGTTCAGGTTTAGGAACTGAAGAGCAAGTCTGAATCTATTTCTTTGTATGATAGATTGTCTGCCTAGAACCTGCAATACGAATTTTGATCTCCGATCTCTCTCACAGTTTGAGTTTGGCAGTTTGACCAACAAAGCTATAAAGGTTATATGTCATTTGTAGTCACTCTAATCCTATGAATTAAAAAAAGAAAATACTTTGGTCTACACCAGTAAATCCTAGAAAAATCATTGCCAGATGAATCAGATCCGTCAAACAGTTCTTGCCACTCACATAATGTAGCCACCTTTGTCCTTTCATTTAAGCATAATGGAGTCAGTCAAAGGACATAGGCAGTGGGCAACATTTTAAGGGTTAAAAACTTTCTTGTAAAAGTGTGAGCTTACCTGTCTTTGCCTCCTGTGACTCGCATTTTCTGCCACATGTAATCCAAGAACATCGAGGACTGGAGCAGACGACTGATCCTCTGCATGTGTCTCTCTGCAAGGCAAAGTCAGAACAATCTGTCGGCACCAGTTAGCAATGCTGTTCCGCTAAGTGCATGAAATTCACTGTTTCTGAAATCCAGCATTATGACACCATCTCTACTACATGCTTAAGTGGTTTATCAGAGCCTTCTTAAGGAATTAGCAGCAGTTTGTTTGGTGTACATTACAGGGATTCACCATGGGTTACACCTGGCTACAAGGCTCTGGATTCAAAAGAAAAGCAGATGGAGCACATTTCATTGCTTTTAGTAACTTTAGAGCACAGGGCTGCAATTATTTGCACACAGGCCTGTTTGTGCCTGTCACACAAGCATGTAGAATCAGGTCAGAAATGATATTAGTAATTTTATTACTACAATACATGTTGACAATGTTGCTGTCTGAATAAAATCTCCAAAATGGCAACTTTACAGGACAATGAAAAAACGTTATTAACTTGTAACGGAAGTTGATGTAATCGTAATGTAAGTTTTGGACCTTTTCTATCTCTCTCGTTCATAAAATTCTAACACGGTGCAAATGGTAAATGACAAAAATGCATTCAGTCAAATCTGACTGTAAAATGAACACACAAATTTCACCAGCAGTTTTGTTATTCACCAATTTCATGGTTGGTATCTGTGTGATCAAATTAATGTCTGGCTGGAGTGCCTGTAAATTTGAGCATAACCATTAAAAAACCTGAAGACATGGCTGATTTGCAGTTAACTAATCAAAACGGTTATAAATATTATCTATAATACCACTAGTAAGAATAAAAGTTGAAAATAACATACAGTGGAGATTTATTTTGCATTTTAACTTCAACTCCTCAGATAAAAGTCATTAACAATGTAGGCTTATTAACATTAGCAATGTAGGCTCACAAAAACACTAACAGACCACAACAAACAAACAATCAAAGCGCAATGTTAAATAAAAATAGACTATATGCTGTTATGGACTAGTGCTTATAGTCCTGTATTCTACATTTTTTGTGTATTTGATTTTTTTTTCCTGAGGACAACTTATGCCATTTGTGTGGTTTTATGTATAATTCATTTTTACATGACCATTTCCAGCCTCTCTTTATTCCATAGGACTAAACAGGCTGTTTATGTTACTGTGCCTTTAAGACTGATATATGTAAACGAGCCCTTTTTTGAACTAGTATGACTTTAACTATGTTTACAAACTGCATCAAACTCTTTTGTTTGAAAACAGTTTTCCAAAATATGGACCCCTTAAATCAGGGTCCTTACAAATATTGTGCAGACCACTGCATGATCATAAATGGACACACATCCGTACATACACACACACTGACCAGTGTAAGGAATGAGGCCTTCCAGATGAGTACGTGCTCCCTGAAATTGCAGCAGATCATCAGGGCTCAGGTGGGTCAGCAGGACCTGCAGCACTGCTTGAGCATCCAGACAGCTTCGAGCGTTTGTGTTCCACACAACACAGTATCGCAACAGAGACTCTACACACATGCAAAAAAACAACACACTCACATTAGGCTAGGCTTACATACCTCATATTACAGCTCATATTACTGCGAATCCTACAATGTACAAACTACCTTATATTAATATAGTGACTGAAAACGATTTTGCTTCTAGATATTCGAAAAAACCAGAACAAAGAAATCCTTCTAGATTTAGTCAGAGAGCGCTGTGGGAGGTCATCCCAACCTCAGGCCCATTAGACTGTACAATAAAACAGTCTATCACCATCAGAGGTACTGACCACAATAATCTAATAATCAAATTATTTTTGGAGTTGAACTTCACTCTGCCTGCTATCTCACCTGCAACAACTTATACACATAGAACTTTCACTTACACTTGCATTCCTTTTAAATCTCATTCACGACCTCAATTTTAATTATATGCAAACATTCACTGTCATTCAAGCACACATTTGTAAACTCAGTTATCTTCTATCACTTTCTTTATTTTACCCACCTTTAACTTTCTCTTTTTCTTCTTTTCCTCGTCTTTCTCTTTCTTTCCCTCTTTTTTTCTTTCGTTTCTTTCAATTTCTTCATTTAGTGTCTTTCATTTCTTTTTTCATTTGTCTTTCTTTTTTCTATTTCTCTTATCCTTTCTTTCTGGTTTCTTCAATTTCTTATTCTTTTTCTTCCTATTTTGTATTTATTTTTTATTTTTGCATTTCTTTTTTCCCATTTCCTTTCTTTTCTTTCTATTTTGTATTCCTTTCTTTTTTTACTCTGTCTTCTTCTTCATTTATCTTTTTTTTCTTCTGTTTCTATCTTTATTTCTTCATTTAGTTTCTTTTTTTCCATTTTTTTCCATTTTGAATTCCATTATCTTTTATTTATTTCTTTACTCTATGTTCCCTTTTCCTTCTTTCTCATTTTTCTTTTCTTTATTTTTATATTTTTCTATATCTTTCTTTTTTCCATTACTATATATATATATATATCTTTATTTCTTCATTTAGTTTCTTTCTTTTTCCTTTCCAGTTCTAATTTAACTTTTTCTGTCTTCCTTGTCTTATTCTTTCTTTCATCCTTTCTTTCTTTCATCCGAACTTAGCCAGTGTAATATTAGAAATTTGAACACAGTTGATGACGCCTTAAGCTCACCTTTCTGGTCCTGTCGGAGCCTAAGAAGGGTCTTCTCCAGCTGCTGCGGACCCTCCTTATCCTGCCGGATTTCTGCCAACAGAGTGATTAAAGACCACCATCAGCATCATCAGAGAGTGTGACAGGCTCGGTGTCCCTGACATTAAAACTACATTATGCTTCTCAATCTGAAATACAGCAGATGTACTCAACTGCATTAGTGGGCAGAAATAAGCTCACTTTTTTAAAATGTGAAAATCACAATAATGAGAAGATGTGTAATCTGTGAACTGCCCATTTAAAATAAACAATTTGCATCAGAAGCATGAGTCAGTCACACTGACAGCCTTGATTTCCTGCTCAGACTAAAGTATTTTTGATACTGAAAAAACCATCGTCAACACAAGACTTCTGGCCGACTTCCCAGACGTGTCTCTGGAGTTTCCATTTGAGACGGAAGAAACTTCACTGTACTTCACTGTATTTCATCTCATTGTATCTGGCTATGACTCACTGTCAATAGGATCTTTAAGGTGTCAACAGGTGGAAATTGAATGATGAATCCCCCTTTATGTTGAACAGTCATCAGGAAAAGAGTAATTGTCTGAGAAGTCTTTTTCATTAGTCTATCAATTTAGAAAGCCAATCACCAATCCAGATTTTGATACAAGCATGCTTACTGACTCACAGATGCTAAGAAAACTAACATAGGTTCTGAAATTTGGTAACTCTGTAGTACTGAAGTAATTCAGTCCATACCATAAAAGTACCTAATTTCAAAACCCAGACTTAAAGGAAACCTTTTCCTGAACCTTTGGTGATATTACTAGCAAAGGAAACTGAAGTGCCACTCAATGTGTGTGGGCACTGGCTCGAAAAGACAAACATCAGTTGAAAAAAATGATCCATGACTAACAGATTAGTCAGACTGGATGGACCACAAAAATCCCACACTAACAAATTAAGATCATCAATTACAGTAACCATCCAAAAGGTCTCACAATACTGCTAATGCAAGCTTCAACCACATACCAGCTCAGGTTGATTGTTACTTCTTATATAAAAACTTTCAATAAACCTTTTTGTTCATAATTTTTTTTCATAACCTTTTTTATTAAAGGTTTCCATCACAAGAAGAGCACTTGACTTTGACTTTCCACTCCATTCTTCTTCTGGGAAAAGCGTAACCTACTCAGAATGAGATTCAAGCTGGTTGCTTGACCTGTTTGGCTGGTCACTGTCTGCTGCAGAAAACTTGCAAAAATGCCAACAGCACTAAAAGAAGCAGAAGCAACAGTTCCACTATTAACTTCCTGCGTCTGTCACACTGATACTCTCTGGCAGTGTGCCAGAGTTAGTAGTCTGAGTGCTGATGCCAGTACCTTTGATTACTTTGAGGACAGTGTGAGGCTGGTCCAGAGAGATGGCGATACCCAGAGCCTTTAAGTATTTCTTCTCATGGAGCAGATTGGACAACTCCTGCTGCCTGAAATGAGGAGTTATATCAATCAGAGCCATTTTATTTGCACTGGGCATCTAGAACAAGTACAAGGGGTGTAAAAAAGAGATGCTCCAGTTTCTACCCTCAAAACTAATTTATACAGCACAAACACAATGAGTTATGAAAGTGATCAGAATATGCAGGAAAAAATGAGATTTAGCATGGAGCAAAAAAAAATTATAAAATAAAGGTGAGCAACTTTCAAATGTTCCTTAGCATATAATACCAGGACTAGGCATACGTAATACTAAGGATGTTGCAATGCCAGCTGATCGAACTTATTTAAGCTGACTGCAATTTTTTCCACAGTTTCCAGATTTTTTAAGATCATATGTTTATGTAAAAAAGAATGGGTGCCTTTTCCTCTGCTGGACTGTGATAAATGCAGAAAAAGCATTTACTGGGACACAGAAGTTCTGACTTGTGCTATAACGCATTTCTCTACAGCTGGGAAGCCACCTGTAGATAAAAGCTAATCAATCAATTTGACCACTTTAGGCTTGTACGGTAATAGTTGCATACAGCGGCAACAAAGACAACTGCAGTTAATCACAATTATTTATATGGCAATTGTCAGCTAAATTTTCATGACAGTAACAGGCCTATTCATTTTTCCCAACATAGGGGTTGTGAACAAATATGTACTGTAAATCAATTACTTAGATTGTATGCCGTAAAAATGTTTGTGATATCAGACATACTGCCAAATTCTAATGCTTCTGCTGTCCTTTTAAAACACTCTGTGATACTCCTAAAACAGACAACCACAAAAGTAGAAAGGATGATTCTCCTGTACTACACAGGACACTTTGTATGTGTTCAAATATATTTGTCTTCTAAGAACCTGTTTGTGCCACTTATGCTTTTACCAAAAAAAAAAAAAGGCAAAATTATTGTTGCCATTTGTTTTTCAGTATTGTTCAGTACTGTAAACGCATTGTATCGTTGTGAAAAAGCCAATGTCCATCTAAATGTTAAGGTCATTTACACCTCTACCTAACACCCATTCCCAGCACAGTAAAAGTGTATGGCTTGGTTTCACAGATGAACTCATCAGACTGTAATTACAGTAAAGCAAGAATCACTTTGAACAGTCCAACTCTTAAGATGCGCCTAACACTGCAATGCTTTTGGGGATCCAGACAGGCACTCAAAATAAAACTGGTGTAACGCTGAGAGATAAGCATGCACAGTTGGCAATTTAGGATATGAAATCTTATGGAAATACGTTCACAAGATAAACAATATGAGCATATTGTTGCTGTCCCAAAAAAAAAAAAAAACACCCTTTTCTCCATTTTTATTTTTCTACATCATTTGAGCTCAGAAGCTACCCTTTTTATTGCATTAAAATTTCATGGTGAAGTGACCAACAGAAATGCTCCAAAATTGCTTGGAATAAAATCTCTTTACCCTTAATTTACATTAAAAGTAAAGAAAGTTTTTGCCTTCTCCTGTGAACTTCCTATTTTGGAGACATGTTTTTCTTTGGACAGAGACGATATGAAGAGCAAACCTACTTTAAGATCTGATCCTCCTGCTTCGCCTGCAACTCTGCTAGCTCCTCCTCTGAGACGTCCTGAAAGAAGATTAGAAAGAAAGAAAGAAAAAAAAAAAGAAAGAAAAAGAATGAATGAATCAATGTAACAGCTTTAGGGTCATCCTTTTCCACACTACGTACTGAGATCTGGACCACTCTGCTCTGCAAAAAAAAGTAGCTACAAAAAGTAATGAACAGCTTTGGGCCTTGATTTGAACAAACAGAATGAAGTTTTATGCAATGAAGAATTTCTTCAGAGCAATGATTTGGCCAAAAATAGAGTTTAAGCATTTTTTTACTTTTCCCTAAATGTATTTGATGAGCCAAGACAAGTTTGGTGTCTGATGTTTTCTTCTGTTGTTTAATAATGGAGCCATGAGGTTAATATAGCAATTAGAATAGAACTGTGCAAATTGCACGCATAAAACAACCACCTCAAACACTTATGTTCAGTTGTTAAGAAATCATAAATATACTTCTTTATGTGATTGCTGACATTGTTTAACCTATTTTTAAATATAAAAGTGGAAAAATTATGAACAAAACTCAGGGTGCAAGACGGTTGCTACAGCTGTTTTTAGCCCTGCATCATGCCTTGTCTATTTTTTTTTTTTATAGGTAACAGTTTGTTATCCAGCGTCAAAAGCCACAGGCAAGTGTGTGACGATTTAGGCATGCAGTTTGTCCGATGCTAACCTAGTGATTCTAAGCTTCCATTGTGTGCTAGCTACATTAACCTTATAGCTCAACATCACAGAGAAACTTCATATGGGTTGGTCCGTTCTCAGTGTGTATAAATGTGCAAAGCAGAAAATGTACTCAAATCCGTCTTCCCTGAAGAGTCAGAGGAAATTGTTTCAAACGTAAGGACTAGAGGCTTCCTCAGAAGGGCAACTGAAGTACTCATGCATGTATAATACTCTCTGAACTTCCCTCTGAGTGACACTAAGTAAACAGAAGTCATAAAAAACTGTTTGGGCCTAAAAAGACTTGAAAGAGTTCCCTTGGCAGTCAAGATCAAAATACTGCTGATTTATCACTTTCTACTTGTTTTCCTGCTGAGTTGATTAGCCAAGATGATTCAGGATACCATTTGTCAAGTGGCTCACACATTGTTTTCCTCAGAAAGTTACTAAGTAATCCAGCTACCATGTTTATGAAATGTACATTTCCCTGAAATTGTTATAGGGTACTTTTAAACCATCAACCCTTATTAAACCTGTTGGATATAAACATGCAAAAGCACCACTTCCTTTTTTAATCATTGAACAGAGGACTCTCTACACAGGATACATCACTGGTGATTAAGGCTGGAGGAAAAAAGTCACATTTTTTCCCAACAAATATTTCAATATTAAAAAAACTCTAGATAAACTAAAACTATTCTCAATGGAGTTACTGATCACTCAATGGAAATGGTGGACAAAGAGAGTTAATGAAGGCAGTAGTTAAATATTCTGGCTAGGGCTGCACAATATGGACAAAATAACATACTGCAACTACAGTATGATTTGCAGTACATTAAAACATGTATAGACTGGCCAGTCACTAAGTGGACAGAGACACATTTGCATCTGTCTATATCAGTACTGAAACGTCAGATGTTTTAATAAAAATTAACAAACGATACGGTGTGCAGCCCCATTGATCACTGAAGCAAAATTACCTTACTTGTTTTTGTTCAACCATTACAGTAGGACACCCTAAACAGACTGACCTTCCAGATCGTGATGTTGGAGTCAGCAGATCCAGTTACCATCAGATCATCGTTGCTGCTGCCATGCAGAGCCCACACTTTATCCTGGTGAGCATCAAAGGTTTTCACGCACTCATTGGTCTTAATAGTCCACAGCTTCACCAGGCCATCAGATCCACTACAGAGACAGACAGCGAGATAGAGGGAGATAGAGAAAGAAAGATAGTGACAGAAAGAAACAGAGATTCAATATTTCAATGCTGATGACCAAACTTCAGCTAGCTGCTTAGTCTCTTCCATGCCCAGGACCCCTCACTCCTATAGACAGGTTTCCTGTTAACAAACATTACTGGGTGACCACGCAGCCGGGAGCAAAACCGCTTTGGTAACTTAGCCTGTCAGAAGATTAAAGCAGTTGACTAACGTTACAATCAATGTAGATTTTGTATTGCTTGTAAATTCTTGTTGACTTAATAGTAAAATGCCATTTCAGAATTGGTTCTGTTTGTTTGTCATTCATTTGCATAATAATGTAACATTATGTAAAATGTTAGCTAACAATAGTTGACTATCAAAGTTAGCTCTTCAGGTCTCTAAGAACACCCCATTAAGTGTGCACATATAAACAATTCTCATACAGACGCTCAGTGGTTATACAAAGAAAAATCTGTGTGCATTAATCCTTAGATGCATGTAATTATGTACTTCATAATTACATGCTCAACTACTCCTTGTAACTGTTGCTTTATGCCCTGAAGAGTGCTGTTTCCTGCCATGACGAGTGCATGACAATGTGTACTATCCGGTGTCGACCAGAGGAGGATGGGTTCCCCTTCTGAGTCTTGGTTCCTCTCAAGGTTTCTTCTTGTTTCTCTTAGGGAGTTTTTCCTTGCCACTGTCGCCACTGGCTTGCTCATGGGGGCTCGGACCCGGATTTCTTTTTGTAATGCTCATTTCCTTGTAAAGCTGCTTTGTGACAACACCTGTTGTAAAAAGCGCTATATAAATAAACTTTACTTACTTACTTACCACAGTAACGGAAATTATTTGTTGAACACTACCATGGGAGTGAGATAAGGAATCTTCATACAGCTCATAACACTCACCCAGGATCCCACTGCTTACAAATGCCTGTATGTGTTCCACTGTAAGATAAAATAAGAGGAAGTGTGTGGCCTACCCAGAAACTAGCTGCGTTCCTCGACTGACAAAAATGATCTTCAGCACAGACGCATCGTGTCCTTCAAAGGTCTGGAGAAAGATTAAAAGATATAAAAAGTCAAGAAAAAGAATATATCAGAAAAAATGATTACATGGTTAACATTAAAAAGCAACAAATAAACCTCATACATTTTTTTACTTTTTCAGCAACTACTTATTTAACCTTCGCATGCTTCCTCTATGTGAATTACCTTGAGGCAACTGAAGTCATGTAAGCCCCACAGCTTGACTGAGCCATCAGCAGATGCAGTGGCCAAGACTTGGTCCACAGGGGAGAACTGGACACACCAGATGCCTCGGCGGTGACCCCGAAAAACTCCAAGCAGACTCATGTCCGTCAGGGACCACAGCTTAGCTGTGCGGTCCTGAGAGCCAGATGCCAGGAGTTTATCATTGGGTGAGACGGCCACGCTGTTCACATCCTGAAGAAAAAAAGGGAAGAAGAAAACTGAAAAATGAGTGCATGTGTTTTGGGGAGGAGGTTAAGAAAGGAATAACATGAATGAATAAAGAGCAAACAAATCATTTGTTCTTGCAATTTGAGATTAATACACCTTGCTCTGAAGGAAATGACACCTGAGACTATTTCCTTCTGGCATCTTCCTGAAAGTAAAACCCTAATGGGCCCAAAATAGGTCAATGTGGGACCCCATTGAGTCATAGTAAAAAGAATGCTTATGAGAATGACTAACCTTGTCATGGGCTTTCTCAGTGATCTGCGCAACGAGTTGGGCTGGTTCTTCGCCCACAGCAGGAAGATCGCCAGGAAGATCCCATACTTTAATAGTGCAGTCCTGACTGCCCGACACCAGGAAGGCCTTCTTTAACCTGCCCTCATGCAAAGAATGTGAGAGAGAAGGGTCACCTCAGGACTGTTCATCAGAACTCATGGAAAGCCACAGGATTGTGCAGCACAGTGTTTTCCCTGAATCCTAGATTCCACTGATCAGCTATTCAACAGGTCTTTACTGGGTTTGCCCAGGTAGGTTGAGACAGGGAGAACTGTGTAGCACTGCTGCCGTCACTTCCGAGATAAGAGAAAACTAACAAAGACATGCCGCTTTTATTTGATCCTCATAGTTCTACAACTGAATCATCACTGCGCAATGTAAATATTGTACTGATGACTGATCTGCAGCTAATATTAATTTTGAAGCACCATCACACACACATCTTATTCATGATTCACTTGTTACAGTTGTATTTCAAGTTACAAACTTTCCAAGACATTTACAAGAACACAAGAGCAATTAATGACGCAGTGATTATAGGGCTGAATGTTAGCTCGGAGTTAACTTGGAGCTCAGTTGTAAGCGATGGATGGCAAATGAGTCAAATTATACAGAGAAATGTAATAACTACAGTGGATAAACATGAAATGCGACACACAAAAGACTTTACTTTTCCACAGTGACATGCAGAATCTAGCCAAAATAAAAATAAATAAGAATACTCTATTACAGTGATTTTACATTGTTCACGAAAAATAGTACAAGAGGATTTGCATTTAATAAGCAAAATGTTAAATTCACATCAAAACTGAATACAGTTCACCTTGAAATGTTATGAACACACAGCTATAAAGTTTCCACAGTGTAATACTTCAAAGTACATGCCTCACTGAAATGGAATCATAACAGTGGAACAGTGAAATGCAATGTATCGAAGTCTGTAGTGAAATATCTCCATAGCTGTCACTACAATATCTGTGTTTCTCAACGACATATTCATCCACAGTTTGTGTTTTTGCTAGGCTTCTTGTTTGTGCATAAAAGCACAGTTTAGTTTGTTTAAGTTGTGTAGTATTACATGATGAGTGGGGGAGCGTGGATTTGGGTCTTTTTTGGGGGATCTGCCAAATTGTCTAATGTGTGTGACCCTAATGACAAAAATAAAAGAAATTCTATAAAAGAGTCATGCGCCATTTTTGAAATCTGTTTCAAACGTGAAGTGTTTGCTCAGCTTTAACTTTCGCGTCTGACCTGGAACAGGAAATGGAGCCCACAGCATTGGAGTGGCCATGTCCCTCAGCCACACAGCGCACGTGACCAGTCTCGGGGTCCATCCTCCATACTCGAACAGACTTATCCTGCACAAAACACAACACTCGCATATTCAGAGTTGAACCATCTTCCAGTTACATCCATGAACGTTTACTGCAGAACTGACGTTGTCATTACTGCGTATTGGTGTGACAAGGGATGGGCAGTACCGGAATACCTGTAACACCATTACATGATCAGTATACAAAAGAAAGGTTACTGTATTACTCTACAGGAGAAAAAAAAAAAATCAGTCATCAGAGTACATTAGAAAAAATACTGACCACTAGCACGATCACTTCAACTCTAATGATTCTTTTTTTGCCTGTATTTGTGTCCATAAGCTAAATTTGTATGTTAAATGCAGATTTTGTCATGAGCTGCAGCCTGTCTCACCCCTGCATCTTACATATTGACTATAAAGAAGGCAGCCAAGTGATTTTCAATTAATGGCATGCATGTACCTTGTCAAAAAAAATACACACTAGTGTACTGTATTAGTCTGATACAGACTAAGCTAAGCTGATCACTCATGAATGTGCCCACTACAGAGGAGACTGTTCAGTTCAATCTTCCAGAAAATGAGTTTAGTAACAGTGAGATTAATAACTCACACTGATTTATCAGTCTACTCAGGCTTCAGAACTTCAGAGTTGGTAAGGAAGCCATTTTCTGTGTTCTTCTTTAGAGCACATCTTTACACATCATGTGCTGACTTTAAAATATTTACTAAACAAGCGTTGATGGTATTTCTTTTAAAAATGGTATATATTTTATTTAGTGGGTTAGTATTCTCTAAAAGTATATGTAAAATATTTAAAAGGTAACTGTATTCTGAATACTGCCGTTACAAAATGTAACTTGGACTGAATATAGATTCTTGATTTCTGTATTCTGAATATGTATTCCATTAAATCCCAATCCTGCTTGTAACTGATTTTACTGATGAATTTATTTTTTATTTTTAAAGTAATTTTCGAATGTATGTTCACAGAACACATTTCTGTTTAACTTGTGTTTGGATGTCATCCCACAGAAATTGCTCTTCCCTGGTATTTATTTAATTCCATGACTCTAAAAAGACAAAGAAATTTAAAAGCAATGAAAAGTAATCAGATTATGCTACTTTAATTTAGTAATCCTTTGGATTAAGGCATACACTTTATTTTTTAAAAGATAATCAGTAATCTGTACCACAATCCATTTCTAAAGTAACCCTCCTAACGCTGGCTGTAACATAGTCACAATGTGACACTGTGATACTGGGATGCAAAAAATGTAAATGTGCATCGTGTAGATGTGACAATGTATTGAGGAAAAAAGGTAATTCTATTAACCACCCTAATCTAATGCAACTGCATTTCCAACAGGCTTGTTTTGTTTTTCATTAACACTACCGTCTTACCTTGGCACAGCTTGCAAACATGGAACGTTTTCTGAACACATCTAGGGACAAGACAGTGTCTACAAAACACACACACAGAAAAAAAAACACTTTAGAATTTGAAAAAGTGTCAACTACAACTGTACTTGCATCTTAGCACCTTATAAATACATAGATCCATAACTTATAGTAGTGCTGCCACCTGGTGGCTATTATTTACCTGTGTGTCCATACAGAATTTGGCAGCTGCTGGTGGCCAGCTCGAACACCTTGAGCTGCGAGCTGTTAGTGGCCACTACAATATGAGTGTCCTCTTTCCCCAGGAACCTCACATCCAGGATGTCATCATTGTAGCCCACAAACTTAACACAAAGAAAGACATCTTCATCACGACTCTCCAGATAAAATCAGATTCTGTCTTTATTACATTCCCATTATAACCTGATGTTCATTCATTTATATATTATTGTTTTCTCACTACAAAAACCTCAATCAAGAATGTTGGGGATTTAACAATCGACACTGGCAACACTAACAGTTTAGGAATGTTGGAAATTGTTATAATCCACTATAATGTAATTCAATAAAGCATACACCCATTTGTGAATGGCCCATATCATGGAAAAACAAATTTCTCTCATTGTTTTGAAATAAAATGGTTTGAAATAACATTCAAACACTGTTAAAGTTAACCAAAATAAAATGCTCAGGCTATTTTTAAATGTAAAAAAATGTCTTACTGTCTGAATATCACAACTGGTTAAGTAGGTTCTCCAGTTATATTTGTGTATTCAGAATATTTTTATTAATAACCCCAAACTGCACCTAAATAAATAGGGTGGGGGACGGGGGACGGGACGACATATGGGAGGGGGCAGTAAGAGAGGAGTCCTAACCTGCTGCTGCACACTCAGAGATGGCAGTTGGTAGAGCAGAATGTTGTGTTCAGCAGTGACAGTAGCCAGACGGTTGGACAGAGGCAGGGGCAGGCAGTAGACCAGGCTGAGCGGGTCTCCATCAGTCTGCTCCGGACTGGACACTGGAGCACTGGGCAGCGTCTGTGTGAACACACAGCGCGCTGTGCTCGACTCCCACACCCGCAGCACACCTACAGAGGACAACAAACCCATGAGTAAGTGCAATCATATGAGAATATACTTTACAGATTAAACAATAACATAATTTGTAAAAAGATCTGGGGCTTAAATGCATTTTCCTGTTATTTTTTTCTTTTCCCATGTTATGGGCTATCGGTATGAATTTCAGTCACAAAATTAGTAAAGCTTTTAATCGCTGACCAAACATTCCAAAAGGAACTGACCATGTCAATAACAGTATTCTCCCAAAGCCCATGCGTTATTCCCTGTAGGAACACTTCTTAGAACTTACAATCTTTATGCAGCCTTGTAAAAGAGACATTTCACAAAGGATTTTTAATGATCTTTGAAATGTTTGAACAACCAGCCCACATAATTCATCCGATTTCAGGTTCCACCCAACAGTAAATCATGCTAATCTGTCTTTGACAAACTCTCACTCGCTTGTAACTGTGAATGGAAGTCACACAACACTGTTGTTTTCGCATGTCTTCCCACTAGTTCTGTGCCAGCTCTGTCATATTTTCATAAAAGAATGCATTTTGTTTTTGTGTTTGTAATATTTATAAACAAGACTCTGTAATAGCCCCACAGACTGTCAGGTGCCCCCTTCCACCCACCCAGACTCTGTCTAACTCAACTCAAGCTAACCATCTGAATATATGACAATATCTCAGGACTGTCAATATCTACCACTCAACACCCTCATACATTCCTGGTAACAATTCCCTATATTTCCTATTTAAGGAAAGTAATTACATCATCCTACTGTCTTAAAACACTAAGACATTTTCTTTACGTCACATTTTAGTCATTCCAGTTGTCATTTTAACACTATGAAGTTGTCACGAACCAGTGAATACTATCATTGTATTGACTCCCTAGAGAAACACCTACATGTATTAGAGCATGTTTTATGTAAATGATATGTAAATTAGGTACTAGTAGGCTGGTGCTTGATTTCACGCACTGAAACTGATTCATGATTTGCACTCAAATCTCTGCTTGTTACATACATTGAACGCAGATTAGTTTATATGTCACTAAAGGCAATCAAACCAGCACTCTTTTACAGATTTTTTCAGCTATTTATTGTGTTAAATTTATTTTTGGGACATTTTACAGCTACACTTGTCTACGTCTTTCTGACTGTATGGTCCTGTAAACAAGGGCCATGTGTGTATGCTGCATCAAAGCTTTGGAGGAACGTAGTTCCTTTTCTTTGTTGTCTTCTGTGACATTCCTGTGCTTCACTGTTGGGGTAAGTGCTGTATAACATCAGGCTTGCTTTAGAACAATGGCTGCTGTGGTGCCTACCTTTACTGCCAGCAGTGATAAAGTGCAGGTCTTTACTTTTCACCCCAAGCTGAGAGCAGTCCTCATTTGCAGGGAGAACTACGACTCCCTCCACAGCCTAAACAAAGAAAACACATACATGTCCCTTATGAATGACAATTCTCCCCATTTCCATTTTTTAGGTGATTTTCATTTATAGCACACATTTAGAAGCTTAGGCTCAACACATGGAATTCTGAAGCAGCTCTGAAGGCAGTCTCACCTCATAGACAGGCACAGTCCTCTTTTCTTTCCTCTGTTTAAGGTCCCACACTGTGCAGATTTTGTCACGTCCAGAGCTGGAATCAAACACAGCATGCCTTGGCTCAAACATTCATGCAGCGAAAAAAGGTGATCGACCCATAAATCCACCAATGAATGAAACACTATTCTAGTTGGAGTAGTTTTACCAAAGCAGGTTCTGTGATGTAATTTGCATTGGTATAGGGATTTGACACACCAATTCTGATGGGACTGGACCACGTGATTTCCCCAAATTTCCACAGAAAGCCCATATTGACAAGACATAGCCCATGCTAATGCACACAGAGCATTACGCAAAAGGTGCCACACACTTCAAAACAATAACACACAGCACAGTTGTATATTATCAGGCTTTGTTATTTCCCTACTACTACTATTACTAAGGAAGCTTCAGGTTTAGACAATTACATTACTATTGTCAGGCTTGTGAAAACTACAGACATTGCAGATTCATACTGGATTAAAAATTAAAGGCTACATCTTCTCACTATTATTCACAACTACACTTTTCTTCCTATCCCTATCAAAAAGATCGTTAACCAAAATTGTTCATGCTGTAGCTGCCATATACCTGATCAGAGTGTGGCCGTCAGGGGAAAAGGCCAAGGAGGTGACAGCACTGTAGTGGCTCTCCAGCACACAGATGCACTTGCTGGTGCGCAGGTCCCAAATGCGAATGGCGCAGTCCAGAGAGGAGGAGAAAAGCTGCAGCAGGCTGATGTTTGGATGGAACTCAACCAAACTAAACAAGGCAAAAATGCAGAAATTGAGCACACAAGACCTAGACCTTCACCTATTTTGAGGCAAAATGAAAAGAAAAACCTTTATTACAATGTTTTGTTTTCTGAAAAACAATACATGAGGATTTGCATTTTAAAAAAAGCCAAATGTGCCACAACTGAACCCAGTTCACCTTGAAATGTTATGAATGCACAGCTATAATGCTTTTCACTGTGCAGTACTTCAAAATGAACATGCCTGAGAACAGTGAAATGCAATGCAGACATGAAATTGAGTTTGATGGAGTTGTTATACTGCATAGTGTCAAAAATATACACCTGTGCTTTGATTATATTTCTAGGTGGATTATATTCAATATTGACAAGAATTCAGAATTTTATAAATCCTCATGTTTTGTTTTAATACAAATGGGTCAAGCATCATGAAAACAGTGCAACAGAGATTTTGTTTTTGTCATATATTCAGCATGTCACTATAAAAAGTAATGTCATGTGTGCACTGTATTTTACAGTTTACCACTATAGTGATTGCATTTTGATTTGGCACAAATTTCTCTCCATATAATTTAACACCGGGGATTTGCGCAATTACACAGATAAGCATCTACATTATGGCTACACAAAGACAAAATACTAGTACTGCAGTTACATTGCTAGATGTTGTAAATGCGTATGCCTGCTGCCCAGATTTGGAATAATCTTCCAGTCAGTGCTCGAGACACAGACACAGGCTTGTTCAGTCAAGCTTTTGGTAATTAGTTCTTCCTGTTAGATAAAAGGTGCAGGGTTCATGGACATCGAGTATTATGGTAAAGTGGGAGTGTTGGTGCTGTCGTCTCGCTGCTCTTACACTTAGTTGGGCTGTAACAGCTTGACCTGCCGGAGTCTCTGCTGCACTCTGTTAACACTGTGTACTGTAATCAGTCTCTATTAACAGAACTAACTCTCTGTGTGTTTTCTTTGCTGAGCTGAATAACTGTCCATCCTGCGTGGTCTGATGCTGTTGCTCGCCAGGCTTCTGGACCAGTTCTCTGCTTTCTGCTGTACAACACTGTGCAAACATCACTTGCACTAACTGACCCTCCTGATGATGCTGCTGCTGCACAGACTCAAACTGTTTAATGATAGCCATTGCTTCACTTGTTTTTCCCATTTTTTGCATTTTACTATTTTACACTAATGTTAAAAAAACCTTATCCTCTGTTCATTTTGCTCTTCTGTTATTGTTTGCTATCCAGTGTTGACCAGAGGAGGATGGGTTCCCCTTTTGAGTCTTGGTTCCTCTCAAGGTTTCTTCTTCTCACTATTAGGGAATTTTTCTTACTACTGTTGCCACTGGTTTGCTCATGGGGGCTTAGACCTGGATTTTTCTGCAAAGCTGCTTTGCGACAACGCCTGTTGTATAAAGTGCAATATAAATACTTGACTAACCTTGACCTTACAACAGATTAAAAAGGCAAAAGTAAAGCAATAATGGGACATGGTTAAGACCAGCATGACCAGCACTGACCAAAACACTTTAGTGTGTTTACATGAATACAGCAAACAGTAAAACACTGCAATTGCTTCAACGGAATCTCTTATATTGCAGCTTTCCTCAGAGTAGTATTGCAAAATCCAATATCACAAAAACATTTACGCCTGTCACGATCATAAAAATTTAGCTGACGGTAAACTGCCACTTAAAAAAACTGCAATTTAAAATGTAAATGTGTTTTTTGTTTACTGTACAAACATAAGTTATTAACATTATTGCCCAACTTTTGTTGCTTCTTTAAGACTCATGATGTGTCTCAATAACTGTGACAGCCCCAATAACGATTAACACTATAAATCTGCTCTAATCTACATGTAGAAACCTGACTGAAGATCACTTCGACTAAAAAATTCTCATTAGGGGAGGTCATCACATTTCTCAGTCAAAAGAATTCATATTTTACTACTTACTGGACAACACCCGACGAGCCTTTCAGATTGTGTGTGCAGTACTGTTTCACTACATCCCACAGCTTTATAGTGCCATCACAACCCCCTAAAAAGACAGAGAAATGATCACAAAATTGCAATAATTCTGATTAGGTTTTATATCTGGACACCACTTTCATAACATCGGGATGAATGTTCATTTAAAAATTTCATGAGCAGCGTTTGGACATTTGAATACTTGTGTGTCCCACCTGTTGCTAGCAGAGTAGAGGTACAGTCGAAAGTCATGCTGGCCACAGGCACATTGTGAATGGCCCGCCAAGAGCGTGTGCACTTCTCCTGTTTCCAGTCCCACTGCTTTAGCAGCAGAGCCCTGCTGGCAGTCACCAGCATCTGCAAAAACAACAAAACAATTTCAAGGCCAGTCCTGCATTGCTACTGAGTGAGCAGAACTGTTACAACTTTACCAAGTGAAATTTGAAAAACGAGCAGATTTAAATAAAAATGTTTAAGGGTGTATTGATTTCAACACAGTATCAAAGAATCTGGGAAAAAAAAAAAAAATCAATGGTCAAAACAGCATATCAAAATTTAAAATTGTGCTGATATGCCCCTGGGTCTATTCAAAGGTCTTTCATCTGCCATCTTTCATGGAGACTGCTGTCAGTAATCACAACTAGGCATCTAGGTGCAACCTATCAAAGAACAGTGTCTCAAACATCAGGCAGGATATTCATGTAATATCTTTCTGTGAGGGAGGTTTCATAGAAATTAAACACTTCAGTCGTCTGGTTCCTATCACTACCACTGTGAATTATTTTAACTTAGTGAATTTCTTCAGAATGGTGCATTTCACATCAAACCACTCTGAATGACTTTGTTTACATCTTTAATAATTTAATCAGGCAGAAGTTTTGAAAAATCGGTGGAATTCCACTTTAACATCCCTCTCAAATGTTACGTGGTCACACGTGTCCCTGACCACCTCTAATAGTAGTTTGAGTGAAAAGAGATGCACCGGACCCTGCTCAGACGCTGTCTGCTTAGAATGAGAACATCCAAGAAGTATGTTAATATGAGAGACGAAACTGGCCTCAAAGTTCCAATTTAGGGGGATTGTGCTGTTATCGGAAACTGAACATGAAAACATGTTTGTAAAATATATATATACACACACAAACATATATATACATATGTGTTAACAACAGATGCAAGCTTGAAATACCTCATCATCGGGACTGAGGGAAAACGAGGTGATATCCTCTTGATCATCCTACACATAGAAAGACACATTATGAACAGCAAGCCATGCAAACCAATAGACAAGAACATGCAGAAACATCTTTCCTTATTTAACCAGACTGAACACACTTACCTGCTCAATGCTGTGAACAATTTTGCCTGTAGCAATTTGCAAAACGTTGACTCGTGGTCCACAGGTGCAGAAAATGTACTTTTCATCATGACTTATCTTCAAGATAACGAAAGCATAGGTGAGAAAAATTATTTTTTAAAAAATCACAGCGCAGCGAATCATCACTATATTTAATTTAGACACAAATGCATGTCGTTTTTGTCATAATGACATTGAAACTGAGGAAAATATTTTCTTGCAGTGTGAAAAAGTACAAACATTCTGCACATCCTTTTAAAACTGGCTTAGATCTACAAATATTGACATATGCATGGTTAATGAAATGTCTGTGAAGGTTGGACTATTCCTGGAAGAGAAAAATACTGAATTTTAGTGAATATTTTGATTGTGTTACGCAAATACTTTATACAGAAGTGCTGATGTACTCAGGTGATTCCTGGACTAAATATGTTTAAGAGGAATGTTCATTTGTTGTGCAAGTCTCTGAAAAGTGTGAAAAACAAGAAAGCCCAAAGACTGTTAACTTTAATGGACTGTTTTTTGGTTAATTGATGAAGATCCTCATTAAGATGCTTTTCATTTTATCCTGTTTGTTCATTTATTTACCCTTCCAACTGCTGTTTTACTGTTCAACATGGTGGTCTTTCACAGTTCTGTATGCAGTGTAAGCCTTGTGTGTCTGTACACTGACTGGCATATGAAAGAATAATAATAATGATAATAATAATAATAATAAATCGTTATTATATAAGCAGAACTTACCTGTACTTTCCCTCCCTTGTAGAAGGGCTCGATTTTGCTGGAGACAGCATAGCTAAAAACATAATATGATGATTAGTGTCTAAACGTTTCCATCACACTCTAATCTGGATCTGCGAGCATTTATTATCTCGTTCTCCATAAACTGAAGCATGTCCACAGCTTGGCTTACAGAACGTTATACTATCTGCCTTTGGCCCGAGAAAACAGGTTTTCTTACTTCGTTTTGAATCGCAGGTTGTTGCCAGCCATGCCAGCCTAAAGTCCTCTTCCAAGCTTTTCGTGAATAATCTTATTTACAATGAAAAAATCCTAATATTGCGACTTCATTTGAACAGAGTTTCTCCTCACACATGTACATGTGTTCAAGCGGTGGTCGCACAAATATGGCGTCACTAGAGCTGCGATTCAATCCAAAAATGAATCGAATCTTCTACTCCAAACAATCCAGAGTCGACTCCAAAGCAAAAAACAACCTGCATGAACCACTCTGTCATGAATGGATTTAAATAAATGGAAAAAAGTACATTTAAGCCTAAACTTTATCACAAACCTATCATAAAACAGCATGTCTAAGACATCAGTCTGACTATTCATACCTATTTCATGTAATAACATTCTGTGAAGGAGCTTTTAGAGGTGGACCTCTGGTTCCTATCATCACCACTGTGAACAAGTCTGACTCGGTAAGTTTCTCTAGAACGGAGTATTTCACACCAAACCACTCTGAATGACTTCATTTGCATATTAACCATTTAATTACGTATAAGTTTTGGAAAATCGGTGGAGTTCCACTTTAAGTTACTTTATTTGTATCGGCTCTCCACATTTCCTTGCTAATGTCAAATATAATTAATGTTGCACGCTTTAATTTTACCAAATCGACTCTATGGATTTAAGTTGCTTTGAATCAGAATCGGAGTCGACTCCAACACTTCTGGAACCGAACAGCCTGAGGCGACACATGAACACGGAGAAAGCGCTCAGTGTTCAGTGCTCAGATTGAGCTCTGTGAGGTTCGGATATCTGTCAACTGAGATTTTAGTAAATTTTCTGGAATTTAGTTTTCTTGTACAACTACTATAATCAGTTATTAGCGACGTGGTTCATAGTTAATGTCACCTACAGACTCACTAGATGTCGCTATCATCTGTTTACGGCTCTCCTCTGTTACCTCACGTCCGCTTTCAGTTTCGTTAGCAAGCTGGCTAACAGTTACCACACAGCTCTTCTGACCTCTCTGTGCTTCTGCTAAGTGTACTGAAATAGAGAAGTCCGTTCGTGTGCTGCTGCTTCGAGTTATGTTTTTGAGAGAGTGCCGCAGTGAAGAGCCCTAAAACAGTTTAGTGCGAGTCATGGCCACGCTGTGCGTCCAGAGACTGAGGTGTCCACTGTTTAAACCACTCATTCTCAATAAGTCTTACAGCAGCCTGGTCCTGCAGTGGAGGACAGGATTCACACCTTCAGAGCTGTCAAACAGGAGAGGCTGCCGACTGGTAGGTCCATGTCTATTCAGAAAGCCACCTGATTCAGTGCTCTTCAGAGCTGTGTTTGTAGTCCATCACAGTGCAGTGGTTCTCAGTAGAACTGGGCGATATGGCAAAATGTAATATCACGATACTTCAGGACGTTTTTTACGATACACGATGCGTCACGATATTTATGTTTTCTGTCATTTGATAAATTAGAACAGACAAAGTAGAGCTGCATTTTAAAGGTGCCTTTAAAAACTGTAAACCTAGTTATGTAACCTATATTGAACATTTTGTATACTGCACTGCACTAAATTCAGAAATGCATTTCTGCTGCTAGACTCTATTGGACAAATCATGCTCTCTTTGTAATCAAGCATGCAGTTAGGAAGTGTTTTTGAAGTGCTGACAATATGCACAATAAGCTTAGACAAGCATATTGTGATGTATTTTATCACACTAACAATAAATACTGTCATATTGCCCAACTCCAGATCTTAGAAACCCACCCCCCAAAACGGTCCACATTTTTGTTCTATTACAACTCTCAACGCATAGGGTTAGAGCAACAATGTAAAAAAAAAGGACCTGCTTGAGAAACCGCCAAGCTAAAGCATATTTGTTCTCACCTGCATTAAAGTTTTGTCTCTTCTCGTCTCTGCAGTTCAATCTTACCTTTACATGCAGAACACCACGATTATCCACTGTAAGAACACTGTCTGCTGTACCTCCACCTCCCTCATCTGATGGGAACAAATCTACAGACAAGAAGACTGGTGTAAGCATATTTGCTGTAGACTCTAGTTTATAGAGAGATTAGATCAGAGTGAAATTTATCTTGGTCAGGTCAGCTTTGCATATGATGTTTATAGACCACTACTGAAATAGGGCTGCACAGATTCCTGAATGCGTAATATGATGTGGTCAGAGATTGGCCGGAGGAGCTAAATGATTACATTTCTATGGTCATGTGACTGACTTGATTCTAGGGATGCATGATAATACCAGAATCATATCAGACTCAGCACACATTTGCTTAAAAAAAATAAATGGCATTAGGCAGATGTTTAGATTTGACCTATATATTAAACTGATGTTTATTGATGTATTCAGGGACCGGCCACTTCATTAAGTGCACCTCCTGGTATCTACACTCATTGTCTGTTTTATGAGCTCTACTTACCATGTAGGTGCACTTTGTATTTCTAAAATTACAGACTGTAGTCCATCTGTTTCTCTGCATACTTTGTTAACTGCCTTTTACCCTTTTCTTCAGTGGTCAGGACCACCACAGAGCAGGCCTCATTTGGGTGTTGGATTTTTCTAAGCACTGCAGTGACACTGATGTGGTGGTCGTGTGTTAGTGTGTGTTGCGCTGATATGTGTGGATCAATACACCAGCAACACAGGAGTTTTTAACACACCTCAGTGTGAGTGCTGGACTGAGAATAGTCCACCAAAAAAATATCTAGACATCAGCGTCCTGTGACCACTGAGGAAGGACTACAGGGTGACTAACACAAATTGTGCTACAACAGATGAGTTACTCTCTGTGACTTTATATCTAAAAAGTTGGCGAACAAAGTAGAAGTGTCTAATAGAGTGGACATTGAGTGGACACAGTGTTTAAAAACTCCAGCAGCACTGCTGTGTCTGATCCACTCATACTACCAAAACACACTAACACACCACCACCACGTCAGTGTCACTGCAGTGCTGAGAATGATCCTTCACCCAAATAATACCTGCACTATGGTGGCGGTCCTGTGGGGTTCCTGACCACTGAAGAACAGGGTAAAAGGGGGTTAATAAAGTATGAAGAGAAACAGATGGACTACAGTCTGTAATGGTAGAACTACAAAGTGCATCTCTATGGTAAGTGGAGCTGATAAAATGGACAATAAGTGTCGATACAAGGTAGGTGTGATTAATGAAGTGGCCAGTTAGTGTATGTTGTGCTCTGGAATAGCAGAACGTTTAGGCGATGCTGAGCTAGTGTAGTAATATTTTACTGTCTTTGTAAGCCTGAAGAAATAAATGTTGTATTTCTTTTTAATGGCATCAACAGACATGTACATAACAAAAATTGGATTCTAAATTTTATTGCAATGGCCACACATGCTACTGTCTTGCATGGCCAGGCATGATCTCATAACAAGAGCATCTTGGGACAACCATGAGAAATTTTGGGCTAAATGTGGGTGGAAACAAACTGAGTGGTATATTTATAAACCGATCCAACACTGTTGAGCAAGTTGAGCTTAAAGTACGGGGGCGATGAACAACAAGCCTGTTGTTAGCTCATGGAAAACACATTACATGTGGTAAAAATTGACATCTCTTGCAATGGAAAAACAGTCTATCTAATGACAGCAAGGGGCTAGCTAGCTTATTTTGCTTGTATATAAGAGCCCAGACCAGAGGAATGTGGGATTTTGCCAGAATCCAGCACCAAAAGTCTTAGAAATTTGTTCGCAGACATGTATTTTTGTAAGACATAATGTTATTATGTGCACTGCCCTAGACTAAAATATAGTACCTTGATTACATGTGGAGATGAACACCTTACTTCATTCTATTGAAGACTCCTACTTTTGTCATTCTTTTCACAGCCAGTGACATGGAAATCTCTCGCCATCACATTTGCCTTTGGTGGGGCTCTTCTTCTGGGGATGAAATACTTTAAAAAGGAGAAAGAGGAAAGTACGGCATTCATTTGTTTTTTTCCTTTAGTGCATACATGAGAGCACTACATAAATGATGTAGTCTAAAACAACACCTCAAGAGCAGAAGTGCAGTCTGATCATTGCTAGTATCATATTTTTGTTTTTGTTAAGCTGTTATTACTGCATTAAAAGATTAGACTGATTACTGTATTGGTCCTGAAGGGGAGATCTGGGGAGTTGTGTCTCTATAGTCATTAATTACCATGAAAAGCTTCCTATGCAGAATACTTAAAGTATTATTTATTTTATCTCAACAGTGCTTGAGAAAGAGAGGACAAAGTCTTTGGGTAAACCAGCTCTTGGAGGCCCATTCTCACTTGTCGATCACAACAAAAAGCCTTCGAAAAGTGAAGACTTCTTCGGCCAGTGGGTTCTGATCTATTTTGGCTTTACACATTGTCCAGACATCTGTCCTGATGAATTGGAGAAAATGATTGCAGTCGTGGATGAAATTGGTAATGTAACCTTTAAAACACCACTTCTTTGTTCATTTCTGGATCATGTGTGTTATTACACTTTTTTGTTGACATAAAAATGAGTATTTTAAATAAAACTTGTTCCGTTAATATGCAGTTATCATTGTTTTTTTCTCTTACAGATAGGATAAAGACACTCCCAGATCTAACACCAATTTTGATCACAATTGATCCAGAAAGGGATACACCAGAGGCTTTAGCAACATATGTCAAAGGTAATTTGTATGTGGAAAATTGTATAGTTTCTAACTAGATAAAACAGCAATTTTTGTGGTTTAATCGTTGGTTTTGTTTATGTAAATTTTTGTAGATTAAACTTTTTTCTCATCCCTGCAGAGTTCTCCCCCAAGCTGATAGGCTTGACAGGAACTACAGAACAAATTGAACAGGTCTCCAGAGCCTACAGAGTTTACTACAGCCAGGGTCCAAAAGATGAAGACAACGACTACATTGTGAGCTTTGCATTCCTTTAATCATTTAGTGGTGTTGTAAATGAACATTAGGAACCTTTCATTTGAATGTCTGTGTAATAGACCTCATGTATGTAAATGTTTTGATCTTAGAGTCTTGTAACACAATGTAATATTTGATAACCTGGACATGGAGCATTAGATTTGTCAGCTTGAGTAGTTTGTTTAAAGTAACACATTGCAAATGCTTGTGCTGTAGATGCTAAGCACACAATCACATCACAATAGTTGGTTCTTGATTTGTTTTGGCTTGTTTCAGAAGTTCATATTGTCGCTATTATATGAAAATCTCATATCTGCTTTTTTAGTTACATTTTTTGCACCAACTGTAAAACAACAACTGCCGTTTTGCATTTTGTAATCTGTTCGTGATAAATAGATAACTACCAATGCTCCAAAATGACTAATACAATTATGGTAAAATCATAACAGTACATAAGTTAACAGTTTGTAATGTTTTTTCTTTATAAATTCGCCGTTTTGGAGATAAGAGGTTTTGGTATGGTAGCAATGATGTGCTTCAGCAGAAGGCGTCCTAATTGACAAACATTCTGAATTTCTTTTAAATTACTTTTGTGTTTATGTGTTTCTGTATTCAGGTTGATCACACCATCATTATGTACTTGGTGGGTCCTGATGGCAAGTTCGTGGACTATTACGGACAGAACAAGAAAGCAGCTGAAATCTCCTCCTCCATTGCATCACACATGAGGAAACACAGGCAGACTAAGTAATATTCTTTGACACTGGAGCTTACCTTAAAGGATGATAAGTGCTCAAAGCACATTCCTGCAGTACCTCTCTCACACCTTATTTTCCAACAGAATGTTCTGGACTTCAGAACATTCTTACGTTTTTACTTCTAAGTAAAATTAACTATTTATTATGTTACACCCTTACTTTTATTAATCAGACTGTTGTGCAGGTTTCTCTCCAGCTAAACTGTTCATAATCAGTTTATAGTGAACACAAATATGAATGATTTGAGTTGTAATACAGTTTTTTTTAAAGGGTATCCAATAAAATAAGGTGTTTAAGTATTGCAGAACTGTTGTGATGACTGGTGCCCCCTTTAAATAGCTTTTTAACATGCCTGCACCAAGTGACTCAGTCATTGCTTGGAAATGCATCACACTTACGCCACACAAGGGATGGAGGAGACAGCAAGGAGCAAATTTTTCAGTTGGAACATACCCTCAGTTAGGTTAGCCTCTGTATGCAAATCAGCTAGCCATTAATTTTTTTTTTTTTTTAAGTTTTAACAAAGCCCACATAAAACGTGAATACTTGCTTTACCTGGCTATAAGCTTTAGTGTGGTGTATTGCCTTCATTTTGTTGTTGTTAGCCGTTTGTCCTCTAGTATGCCAGCCAGCAAGCCAGCAGAGTAAAGTGATAAAGTTGTATTAGCTGTCATGTATAAGAGATGAAGTAGTTTGCAAACCAAATCCCAGCAAATTGAATGTTATGGTTTTAAAATATTAAGCATTTTAAAGTAGTTTACTGCTGTAGCCATGAACAGTTTTATCCAATATTTTCTTCAGATTTGAAAAGGGAAATGCATGGCAACAAAGTTCTGCTGTTGAAGTCGACACGTATGTTCACTCGATCCCTCACCCCTCTGAGTGCTTATGTCATATCACCCTTCAATTGTGAACACAGTAATGGAAAAGATCCAAAAAGTTAAAGTTGAGATGAGGTTTGAATAAAACAATATGTCCTGTACATGCAGGGTGTAATAAAGCAAAATAATCCCCAAAGAAAACTTATTTTTTCCATTATTGACATTATGGATTAAAAACTCGACATGTGTAGGTTTACTGGTACCTTTGGATAGTGACTAAATGGCTAGATTTGTGCTGTATACATTGTTGCCTTTTGTTCCTGTACACACCATTGAAAAGAAATCTGACTTTCACATCAAACCAATCCGAATGACTTTGTTTACATCTCAGTGACTGAATTATGCAGAAATTCTGAAAAAAGGGAACTCTCCTTCAATGTGGCATCAGGGATGCCCCTCTGGAGAAATAGTGAGGCCAAGTGGATGAGGCCATATTAAAACAGGTCTTGAAATCGGAGGTATGAATGTGGTCAGTTTCACATGCATGTAAAGGCATGCATACCGTTGATGAACTCCTACACTGAGATCCACTTTGATGAGCTGATTCTTCACAAAGCATACAAAAACATGCACACCCAGTTGTCCTTTTGACCTGTAAAGTTGGCTTTGCAGACTGGTTTTAGGAGAGGCTGCTTTATTCAGATTCTGTCTTTTAACTTCTGAACTCCTTAATCTCTTCTAAAGCCGTATGTCGTCAGATCTATTTTTCCTCAGACAGGAGAATGTCTTCCTTGTCTTCAGTTGCTGCTGAGGTGACCTTATTCTTTCCTGGTGAGTCTACTGCTGTTCTGGGACCAGTTGATATGACCAAAGGGGTTGGAATGGGGCCCCGTTATCAGAGCAGCAGTTGTCATGTTTGCTAAAGACGAATAACAGTCACAGCTGTTGCCAGCCCTTCATTTGACATTTCGTGGACCATTGGAATAATACCAATTAGCTGCGTTATGATGTGGTGCCAAGATGGGTCACAGTTCACCCTCTATGTCCTCAAGGACCGAGATGAGAAACACAAGAACCCTGTTGTGACTGTTTGGCTGGGGGTTAGTAGACGTCATCGGCTATTGTCAATGACCAGGCTGTTGTTCAGCTGTTCAGGATGGGAAACGTGCTGGAAAACACCTCTAAACATCTCTGCAAATCACCAATATTATGCTAGTGAGAGAAAGGAAAAATAATGAGATTCAGATCAGTGAATTGGACACAAAGAATTGTTTACAATTTACAAATTTCCCCATTCAGCTCTCACATGTTTGGTTTCTAAAGTTTACTTCTTGACTTTTGTCCTGGTACTACAAGGAGCTAATGTAGCTAACAAGTAATGGAAGCTTATACTAACCAATTAGCACTGTGGAAACTACAAGCCTAAAGCACTTGCCTCAAACTCCAATGAGTTGTTGAGTTTTTGACATGATATGACACACACACACACACACACACATATATATATATATATATATATATATGTGTATATATATATATATATATATATATATATATATATATATATATATATATATATAATTGTGAAGTTATTTTTTGCCAGATTATTGTGCTATGGTTACTTCACTTTAATAGTGTTTGTTTATTCATTTGTTTGTTTATTTATTTATATTTATTAATTTAAGCCTTTTGATGTGTTTGAGTGAAACATTAAAAAAGGCCTTTTCATTAAGACAAAAGATAATGAAACAATCATTAAAAACAGTTAACATAACAACCAGCGTCCTCAGCAACACATGATGGTTGGTTATCCATGGCAATGAATTCCATTGTCCATCATTTTCCATCACATTTCACTGTTTCTACTTTTCTTCATTATTAAAATGATTTGTAAAGTGTTACATTGTTTTTGTTAAAAACTGCCTTTTTTTAAAAGCCATTTTCAGCTGACAATTTGCATCCCTAGCTCAAATATATACTTCAGGCACCATTGTGTATTTAATAATTACTGGACAAAACATCTAGCAAAAGCCATATGTAGGGTTAGGCCAGATACACTTTGACTGAAGGATGAGCACAAATGGGTGTCAGTGGAGCTTTAGGAGTGTGTAGTGTTGATAACACTCCCACATGTCAAAGAGCAAAAATACTGTGGTAACCATAGCATACCTTCATTACACTATATAATCTGCTATACTGTTAGTAGACATTTTTAGCATGCTAACCAGTGTGGTATGCAGAAGGATTTTAATAAATATAGCTTAACAGACTTAAAGCAGGGAATGACATTCCAGATTCTCTTTATAGAGAATTGGCATCACATGGTTGTGACATACTGGGTACTTGAAAAACATTCTTTGCTAAATTGACAAGAGCAATAGGGGCACATTGATATAAATCTATACAGGGGATTTCGACTGGATTTAGAAGGATTTTTTTTTTTCAGATCCATTGTCAGCATTGTTATTTATAAGCCTCTACTGGGTATTTGCAAATGGAGAGATGGACTCCAGGGATCAATGTATTGTCATAATGCACTTGAACTGTTCATCAAAAGGTCTGCATCACTTAACCATCTAACTGACTTAATTGTCTTCTTTGAAAAACTTCACCATGTTGTTTTTTTTTTAATATACTCACTGAGAATCTTTCTGAAAGGGTAGACAAACTAATACTGAGCAGTATTAAGCAGCTAAGTTCTCTTGGATCTCAACTACAATTGCAGAATTTTCAACATTACTCTTAAGGACTCTACCTTAGTGCATGGTTACTTTATAGGAAAAGCTGGTAAACGATTGTATGCCACAATGCTCTTACATTCGGAGCTATTCTACTAAGCATTCTGCCCAGGCCTGATCCCTGACAGTCATTGCCAGAATTTAAGCGATGCCCACATGCACCTAATCTTCCCTGATCCTACAAAATGAGGCCTGCCATGTCAGGCTCCAGAACCCAATAATCTACCGTTCTTAACCATCATTGCTTTTTAATGGGCTGGCTCGGAGATTAGAATTGAAAACATTTAGAGGTGACACAATACAGCTATAGATAGATATTTCAAAAACAAAATCAACATTGTTCACCGCCCAAGGTGGCTTTGGATCCATAATAGATCCCAATCCAAATATGGCCCAGGTTTAATACAGGAGACAAAAAAAAAAAGACGAGCTCTTATAAAAACTGTCAAAGTCTAGTTAGTGCGTCTGCAGAGGTTAAGAGAAGCTAGGGTTTTAGTTGGCCACATTGCTTTTTGACTTTTTGTCTGAAACATAGTCTATATTACACAAAACACTGAGGGCCTCAGGTCCTTGTGGAAAAAAGTGCAAGAGCACAGTTTTGATTGTTGGTTTGACTGGCGTGCAGCACCAAGGTAAGAATCATCTGTCTTCAGATTTTCACCTGTACATTTTACATTGTATTACTAATGTTTTTCAAATGTACATTATTGTTGTATTTGAATCTGATTCAAATATTCTCTGTCATATCACTGCCATAATGTCGCATTGCAACTGGTCACTGTATAGTAGTAAATGCAAAAAGATTTCTCCTCATATTCCAGCATTAGAAAATGAGTGATGCTGAGATGGAGATATTTGGGGTCGCTGCCCCATACCTGCGCAAGTCAGAACGGGAGAGGATTGCGGCCCAGAACAAACCTTTTGATGCCAAAACATCCTGCTTTGTGGCTGACCCTAAAGCTGAGTATGTGAGGGGCAAAATCAAAAGCCAAGATGCAACTAAAGTGACAGTGGAGACAGAAGATGGGAAGGTGAGTGAAGGTGTTTTGTTCAGACTGTCTTCTGCTTTACTGCAACTGAAAACACTCATAGGCTCCTTGGTTTGTTTCATTAAGTTTTCTCACCTTCCTACAGCGGAAAAAAAAAATATTCCCTTAGTCTGGATTTCAAGCCAATCTATATTTTTTGCATTTAAGAGGCCTAAATGTAGATTTTAATATGTTATTTTTCATATTTTTGTTATGCAATATTCCATATCACAGCATTTTCCTCTCAGCCTCACTGGTTTGACAGAATTCATTATTTTATTATATAATATTCCTGCTTATGTTCATAAATATTCCCTCACTACAATACCCAGCATGCATTGTACAAATACAACCTGTGATGTTAACCAATACTGACTGCTAGCCTAGCTAATGATCTATAAGCTAATAAATACAACCAGGCTAGCATTAGTGTTACTCTTACTTCAGTTGTCGAACAAAATAGTAGAATAAACAATGATTTTATCTTTATTCAACACAAAATAGACACTTTTTTACCCTTCCAGTCAGAGATAAAAGGGCGAACTGAGGTAAGGCATCTAGATAGACAGCTAGCTAACTAGCTAGCTAAGTTAGTTAACCTATCTGTCTGCCTTCCTTCTGCAGCTAACGGAAAACAACATAATAATAAAACCACCCCGCTCCCAAAATCCACCCTAAATCAGCTGTAGTTTTTCAAAAGTTCTTTCCAC